AGCCGTATACAGTGCCAATTTTATTTGAGAAATAGCATTAACTACTTAGTAGTGACTAAAACGTATAAATATAATAAATTAGACACGTGGGGTAAACATACCGCAGTTAATTGTTTTAAATTATGATGTACCATCCATAATTTTTATGGTAGTAAGTGAATGTTGTGTAATGCAAACAACACACGATTTTTGTTTTATTTTTTATCAATCGTTTATATTGGTTCATTAACGAAAACTATAAACATACATTTATTTCAGTACACTTTGCTAATAATGGTCCGATTTTTTTTATTTAGGAGTTTCTTAAATATGAAGTATTCAGCCAGTATTCTACCCTCTCCTTCCCAATCCATAATTATCTTTGGTATCGTCGCCCATTCGTCTCACATGGCCATACCATCTCAGTCTACTTTTTCCATTACCTCTAGGATATTTTCCTTTATTTTCAATCTCTCGCTTATAGTGAACCCTTTCGATCCTTGATATCTTAGCAGCTCTCCTCCAAAAATCCTTTTCAACTGAAAGGAATTTTTTTCTCCTGGGTCATACTGAGGGGGCATGTCTCCGAACCATTCAGCATTAACCTTTCTACCAAAGCTTTGTATATTAGCTTTTTTGTTTTTAGTAAAATATCGCTGCTCCAGAGTAACGGATTAAGCATTCCCACTGCTTTTTTACCATTTGCATTCCTTTTTTGGATTTTTTCCTCTATTTTCCCATTACTTTCAATTATGGATCCCAAGTAACAAAACTGTTACAACTTATTGGTGTAATTAGGTTGCATAATGTTGGGTCGGTGCTCTCTTCTTTCTCCGTGTAAATTTATCTGGTTTTGCTGTAATTTACTTGCTCATGATGACCAATTATTTGTCTGAATAGGCAGCTTATATCCTCTTCATCTTGTGCAATTAATACGTGGTCATCAGCAAATAGTAAATGACATAGGTTTTTTCTTCTATACTCGACGTCCATTTGCCCACAATTTCTCATCCACCCTTCTAGGCATTCATCAAGGTATATTTTAAATAGGGTGGGGGACATGTAGCATCCTTTTAGCAACCCTTTTCCGTTTTGGAATTCCTCGGATAATAATGAGCCTAGTTTTATCTAACACATATTATTAGTGTAAATCTCTTTAATTAGGTTCACGATTCCTTGGTCTATTCCATTTGATTTTTTAAAATGGGAAAATGGTGTACAAATTTACATAATTACTTAATAGTAGACAAAAATTCTTAAAGTTATAAATATTCAATGTGTAATTGCGAAATCGTAAAGTCGACAATATTTCATACAAAGCGCCCCTGAAAATTATTTGATACAGAAACGCTTCAGTAGTCTTACTGAAATAATATATGTGAGTATACAATGAGATAAAGCGAAGGTGTGATGGTTACTATTGAATCTGTTCACCTTTAGTTAGTTGTTCAAATAACCACAACACTACAAAAAATAAATAAATAAAATAAAAACCGAACCGAAGCACATGAATTTAGAAGTGATATATTACATACTGTATTATTTCTAAATTATATTCCACATAAATTGAAATACACTACATATAATCTTCTGCATACTCTTGCGATCTCGAGATAGAGATGGATGCTCGGAGGGATGGATATGTAGAGGTATCGACCCACTTTCTGTTTCGTTCATTGAGAGCCACCACCCTAACCTACTACCCCACTTCCTTCTCCTTTATCACAGTTCTGCTTCCTATCGTTCCTTACACCTTCCTTTACTCATGCTAAAAAGGTCTTACTCAAATTGAGACAGATTCTAAGTCGAGATTGAACACCATCTCCACAAAAACCACCTTTATATTCTTTCCGAATATTCAATGTATATTCTCATTATTTCTAATTTATTTTATTTTTTTAGAACCATCTTTTGTTAGAACAAAAGATGATTATAAATTCAAGTTTTCTATACAAAGTTTTTACAGAAATTTGACAAAGGTATATGTAATGTTGACGAGATGTTCCAATAAAATACATACCCTGAAACTATTGAAATCAATTTCATGATTTATACGAAATAATTTATACATATCGATACAATAAGAAACTATGACAGTTCATTGTCTTTACCTGATAATGAGCCATTATTGAATCATAAACGTCCTATGAAGGAGCATCCAAAATTGGCCAAATTGGATACGTAGATGGATATAATTCGATACACGGTATATATTGGCCAAACAGGATATCAGTGTTATCATTTTCCAATGACCAATCGTAATGATATGTAATTTTAGAAGGCTTCTTAAGTATGGTTGAAGAATTTTTGTCTTTAGAAAATTACAATAGCGGAGATAGGGGTCAGTTGTGCCAGGGTATGGTAGTGACAACCGTCATATTAGCGAAACTATAAAGAATTACCAATAGGTTTATTGGGAACAAAGGGAGGTTGGGGCGGTCTGAACATGTTTCACAGAATAGCGTCAGCCATCAAGCGACATTAACGTAAATAGAGGACTGCATTAATTTTTAATGGACAAAAGTAACTATCTTTGTTAGATTTCTTTGATTCATTATTATTATAAATCATGCACAGATTTTTCTCCTTATAAGTTAAACATTATTACTTAAATAGCAGTGAATACTTTGTACGTAGATAATTTCGTATTGCCAAAGGGACTGTTTTTTTGCGAAAAAGTGGGTTGGGGACGGTTGTGACATATTTTGTGAGTGCAGTTGGAACACAAGAAAAATTTTATATTTTTGCTTTTAAATGCCCATAAAATCCTTGAGGAAGACCAAATGTTGATACTTACAAAAATTTTTTTTTTTTTTTTAAGAAAATATAGCTTTGTGTTTCACTGATTTCGGTAAAGCATTTATTAACTTTTGGTTTATTATTTTCAATAACCAACCATTGTGATCGACCAAAAAATTCAAAAACATGACCCTCTCTCAAAATTTTAGGTTTCACGTTTCAGGACGCGTAGAATTCGAAACACGAATAAAAATGTTTGTGTCCGTCCGCCGTCCGCGCATTTTCTCCGAAACTACTAGACCGATTTTTTTTCAAATTTGGATATAAAATCAGAGGTCACCCGAGGATGATCTTCCTTCATCTACATTACTATCCGCCTTTTACTTTCAAAATGGCGGCCGAAAAACTGTAGCTCCCAAACAAGCCGCACCACGGCCGCAGGAAATACCTTCTCGATGAAATCGAACAAAGGCATAGCTAGAACATGTGTTTTGTACTACCCTAAGCTATGTAGATGTTTGGTTTCATAGAGAAGATACTACATACGACCGGTGATGCGGCTAGGGCGCGGTACGGGCATGTGTGCCTTAACCTTTATTAGTTATAAGCGATTAAAATGTTCATGGATTTTTTTTTTTTTTTTTTTTTTTTTTTTTTTTTTTTTTTTTTTTTTTTTTTTTTTTTTTTTTTTTTTTGTTCTTCCCTACCTCGCCTTTTAGGCTATACGGGATTTTCCCGGGCCGGGGGGTGAGGGCGGGGAAATTTAAAATCCCCTCCGGCACCGGGACGCGAACTCGTACTTTTTATATCATCTCAAATCTCTGTTATCCGATGCGGTGCTGTTACACACGCTTTAGCCTATTCGGCCACCCCGCCCCCTTATTTAGTTTGTTATAAAATACAATAAAAGTTATATTAGGCCATTTTAATGTATTTTTGAACCTATTCCTACCGACCCTATGCACTGTCACGACCCTCCCTGGGGTGGGGTCGGATATGACATTTTAATTGTTTTTCTAATTTGCTCCTATGAGTTAACCATTGTATTTACGGACAAACCTTTAGTCAAATATTAACTTTACTATAAAAACGAATTTTCTTTTTTTGACAAAATTATGGGCAATTAAATGAAAACTGTCACAACCGACCGCAGTCTCCCCTACTTAGTGTTGCCCGAAATCGGTCTTGGTCTTGCTAAGTGCAAGACCGCATAACTGTTGCAAGGCCTAGATGAATAATGGAAAAAAAGATTGTTTTAGTGAATAAAAATTAAGGCAAAATAGTTACTAATACTTGACAATTTTAGTTACTATATGTAAAGAATTGGTATAACCTATCTACTTTTGCATTTAATTCTTCGAATTTTTCATTCGACCTTAGTTAGGTTTTCCCAATCTGAAAAATTACAGTAATATCTCTATAGTAAAAAGCTAATAGGTAACAGCAAGACTGTTGCGAGACTCTTGCGCAAGACCAAGACCAAGACCGAGACTGAGTGCACAAGACACCCTTTTCCAGATAAAACATTTAATTTCATAATCTTCAAAGTCTATTTTTCATGTTCACTGAACGTGATGGGTGCTCATATTAAGAAAAGGTTTGCATGTGAATCAAGAAAAGGTACTGTATTCTAAGTAAAATGAACCTTGTCTACCATTCCAGATCCGCTGTTTTAATAGCGACTGATTTAAACAATATTAATCCAGTCAGCTGAGGATTGAAACAGAGACTATATTACGAATATGTGGAAAAAGTTTTTATTTTTTAAACTTGTATAAGTGGGTTCAAACATGCGGATAATTCAAAATTAACAGAAGAATAAACTTTACTCGCATTAATGAGACGTTCTGCCGACATGCGTAATATCTTATTACTACTGTAAACGGTACAGAAGGGTTTCAATAAATAAATACTATATCAGTGACAATATATTATTCTGAACATTACAGGTATCCATAATATGCTGTGAAGTGCAAGTTATATATTTTTTTTGTCAAATACTGATCATCCCATTCCTGCTTCGGTTCTCGAAGCATACAAATTAGAGCTTAATGTGTCTATTTATTATTTATTTGTTTAAATATTAGTGTTAACTCTCATTTGATAGCTGGTCCCAACTAGAATATTGTCCGTTTCCAATATTGCCTAAAATTCGTCGTCAGCTAATAAAAATAAATTAAGATGTTTTTTTAAAGTAATTTCTATTTTATAAATTAATTTTATCGATAATCTATATTTAATTTAACTCGTTATACTTTTAATAATTAGTGGGGTGACTTTTTCAGCAAGAGAAGGGTGGCATGGCGAGGTAGCGATGGGAGGTAGAGAACGTTACCACGCTGGAGCCTATCACGCAAGCCGCAGCTATAACCTCGCTGGCGGTCACCATCATCCTTGCCAACCTCATCATCATCGCATCATTCATCAACTCCAGAGGTAATGAGCTAATTAAGTAACTATTGCTAGATGGTTAGTATTTTTTATTTCCCATTGTGGTACCGTAGCCCGATATGGGTTTTAGCAACATCAAGAGAGATCATTTAAGCCCATTTACTCTCCGTTGCTGATCCTCAAGAAAGAGATCTTTGAGGCTTGACTCCTCATCTATTTCGTTATATCACTCTTATTTTTCTCTTCCAGCAGAGTCTGTCAATTCATACACAAAGTTTAATTCTAGTTGTCCACTAGTTCAGTAGAAAGGCACAATGCGGCACTACGCCCTATAGTGATTCTGGTGTAGAAAAAAACTCAAAACGTTTTCCAATTACCTTTTTTATTTTTATTTTTTCTAATAATCCCTATAATGAAGGTAAACAATTTTTTTCTCAGATTTAATCGTCAAAATAACCATAGGTAAGTTTCTAAAATATCTCAAAGTTATCAATGCGGAACTGCCAGGTTCTTAACACCCAGCCGTCAAATTTTATAGGATGAGGAAAAAAATAAAATTAAAATGGCTGACAAGGGTGCTGGACAAGTTTCAAATCCGCAGAGAGCAAACAAAGTAGACAGGAGTCGTCGGCAAGAACAATACCAGTATGAGATTGCACAATATAATTATTAAAACAAGAGAAAAAATGTACAATCTGTTATGAATGCCGACGCTCCTAAACGGTGTCCTGTAAATATGGTCAAAATCGAGAGGCATTATAAAGACCTCTTTGAAAGCGAAAATCTCTGCAGGCGTGCGGATTACGAACAGTGTGACATAACCAATATTATCAAAACGATTGCAGAGATAATACTAAAGGTGGCCTATGTTCCAGAACCATTTCGACAGGGACGCACAATATTAATACATAAGAGGAAAGGTGGTATAAACAATATCTCTACCTGGAGACCTATCACCATCTATTCGATTGTGCGCCGAATCATAGAGAAGGTTCTGACCACGAATTAAGAAAGCAGGTCACCTTCCACAGGAATCTGAGAGGCTTTATAAAAGGTCTCCCGAAAACGCACGTCAACACGGGGATTATCGACGCTATATTAAAAGATGCACAGAGAATGAAAAATGATTGTGCGATAATTTTCCTCGACGTTGTCGGTGCTTATGACAATGTTGTCCACAAACACATCGTGAGCTCCTTAGAAGCAAGAGGTGTGTCACCGAATCTTAAAAATGTTATTCATATCAGCTCTCCTTAGCACGAACAGTATAAAGATTAGTAATGCTGTCCATGCAACTATCCAGATCAAAGTGCTGCGCGGTGTACCCCAAGGCGACCCCCTGTCATCTTCGCTCTTCAACCTGGCCTATGGCAACCTCCTGTGCGATGAGGACTATTCCAAGAAATTTGGGTATAAATTAAGAAATGACCAAGATTGTGTGGTCCTCACAGGTTTCGCGGATGACCAGGATGTGTCGGCGCGAGACAAGGGAGCTGAAAAACAGTGATTGGCAGTGTCCAGAGGACATTTCAAGAAATTGGTTTGACTATAAATCCTCAAAAAAACATGGGCATCGTTCTAAATAAAGGAGAGCTGAAAACTGCGTTGCTTTCTCTTGATAATGGAGTATATCCAAACATTGAAGAATGGAGAGACGATTAAATATTTAGGATGTACATTCTTGGGAGAGCTCCAATTCAACTAAGATTCGGTAACTAAATTGAATAATAATCTAAACAAGCTGGTAACCTCTTACTTAAACCTGAGCAGAATAATACATATCTTAAGTTATATATATATATAACTATATATATATATATATATATATATATATATATATATATATATATATATGTATAAAAAAAAATATATATATGTATATATATATATATATATATATATATATATATATATATATATATATATATATATATATATATATATATATACATATATATATTTTTTTTTCCTTTCATTGTTCATACTTTTTTGTTTGCTTTTTTTTTCAACATTTAATTTCCCTTTCTCTCCCTTCTCTCTCTTTATACAAAATATTAAAATGCTTAAAATTAGAACAGAATAATAACAAAAAACTAAAGTGTATACATCTAGAATTAAATACAATTTACTATAAAACAAATACAATAGACATTTTCCATTAAATAAATACATAAATTAAAACTGTCACCCTACCCATGCAGTGGTGGTGGATGATTTCCAGGGAGTCGGGGACTATATTTTCAGCCAACCTCACTACATCCTTAATGTTGACACCTAGTTCCTCCAGGAACCTTTTGGAATTGTTCTGGGAGGCCCAAACCAAATGTCTCTCATGGTGAATTCCCTCTCTCCGAAGGTCTCACGGAATTTCTCTTTTAGCAAATGGATACATTTATCATATGTGTTCTTCTTTTTCTTTTCCACTTCACCAACCTGATTGAGGTCATTGCTCTCAAAGTGGACAGTTTGATCCAAGATTAGCGCTGTTCTTCTTGTCTTGGGAAATTCGACAATATCCGCATATCTCCTAGTGCCTTTACTATCGATGAAATAGGTCTCGTCAAAGCAGGTGAATTTACTTTCCTTACTTTCAATTAATCCGCTGCCAATGGGGGCTCCTCTTCGACATTGGTCCATTGCTCAGCGACTGTCCAATGTACCAGATGCCCTTTTCCAATTTACTTTCGATTATTCGGCTGAAGTTACTGAATGTGCCAAGAGATTGGGGGTTGATAAGGGTCATCGAAATGTGAGAGCTCTACGGCAGTCGCTACGAGAAAATTCGTTTGAGGAATGAGCCAACTGCAGGTGCCAGGGTATTGGTGTTAGCCATTTTAAAGAGACGTCGAAAGCGAATAAATACATTTACGAAAAGCAAGTACTTTCTGGGTCTGAATGATGGAATGCACTAAAACTAAACATTAATTATGCACCCCTGCGTGGAGTCCCAGGTGTCAGCGGACAGGTTGGAGAAGTTGGGTCCCTCTGCGTTAAATGCGGCAGAGAGTCTGAAACACCAGCCCATATGCTAGGAAAATGCTCCAACAACTCCCTGCTCATAAAACATCGTCACCATAGGGTCTAGTTCGAGTTAATAAGGCTCCTTCGGGAAAGTAAATTCACCTGCTTTGACGAGGTCTATTGCATTGATAGTAAAGGCTCTAGGAGATATGTGGATATTGTCGCATTTCCCAAGACAAGAAGAACAGCGCTAATCTTGGGTCCAACTGTCCACTTTGAGAGCAATGACCTCAATCAGGTTGGTGAAGTGGAAAAGAAAAAGAAGAACACATATGATAAATGTATCCATTTGCTAAAAGAGAAATTCTGTGAGACCTTCGGAGAGAGGGAATTCACCATGAGAGACATTTGGTTTGGGCCTCCCAGAACAATTCCAAAAAGTTTCTGGAGGAACTAGGTGTCAACATTAAGGATGTAGTGAGGTTGGCTGAAAATATAGTCCCCGACTCCCTGGAAATCATCCACCACCACTGCATGGGTAGGGTGAGAGTTTTAATTTATGTATTTATTTATTTATTTAATGGAAAATGTCTATTGTATTTGTTTTATAGTAAATTGTATTTAATTCTAGATGTATATACTTTAGTTTTTGTTATTGTTCTATTCTAATTTAAAGCATTTTAATATTTTGTATAAAAAGAGAGAAGGGAGAGAAAGGGAAATTAAATGTTGAAAAAAAGAAGCAAACAAAAAAGTATGAACAATGAAAGGAAAAAAATAAAATAAAATAAAATAATATATATATATATATATATATATATAGTTATATATATAACTTAAGATATGTATTATAATCGGATAATAGGTCATGAAATTTCATGACCTATTACCCGATTATAATACATATCTTAAGTTATAATATATAAAGGTCGAATTATAAAAAAAACATTGTAATATTATGTGATTGGGAAATTAATTGTATTTATTGGAATTACTACTGACTTGTTATTGATTACAATTTTGTTTTTATTGATATAAAGACATGGGCATCTTTCAAGATATCAAACATCGATACGGAAGTGATCTTGCCAAAAATGTAAAAATATATTCAAAATTGCTTAAAAGGCTTTTGCATTTGGAACCTCAAATTTCATGACCTATTATCCGATTATAATACATATCTTAAGATATAATATATAAAGGTCGAATTATAAAAAAACATTGTAATATATATATATATATATATATATATATATATATATATATATATATATATATATATATTTATATATACTAACCACTTCTGTATATTTATATATAAGTTTTATCTATTGTCCTAAGGATTAACTAGTATGCTGTGTGTATAACAACCCAATATAATTGGACATCTATCTTTTATATTTTATATGAAAATGAAGTGTTTCTCTATTATTTCATTTATCAAGTCAAAAATACTAGTAAGTTTAAACTAGTTTGAGAAATGAGTAATTGAAAACTTTATTTTATATTTATTTGAAAACTTTTTCAATTTTCTTTTGACAAGTCATCAAAAAATAAATTAACTTTTTAAAAGTATAATAACTGCTTCTATTTTTTTTATTCTTAATAGGAAACCTTAAACTACTGTTACTTTATATTCTCTTCACCAAATGTTTTTGTCTGTCACTATTGAGTCTTTATGAGTCCATTTTAAAAATATTCTAATGTTACCATGTAATTTGCAAGGCTATAAATCAGCTCTCTATCTTGCTGCAAAAGTGATTAGAAGTGACCAACTAAAATGAGAGTGGTCATAGGGGAGGTGCCTTTTTCTAATAATCAAATGCAGTTTTTGATTAGGCTTACATTATTAGAGTGTTAGCCTCATTAAATTTTGAATTTATACTGAAAGCAGGTGCCGGTGAGGTGATAAACTGCTACCTGCTGTCGCTGGCAGTGGCTGATCTGCTATGTGGGCTGCTCGTTGTACCTCTGTCTGTCTATCCAGCTCTCATTCAACGCTGGGTCTACGGAGACTTGGTATGTCGCCTAGTGGGTTACCTCGAAGTCACCCTTTGGGCTGTTTCTGTTTACACTTTCATGTGGATATCCGTCGACAGATACTTAGCCGTCAGAAAGCCCTTGAGGTAAGTCGCACTCACATTCACCTTAATTAGTGATGTTATTTCATGTTTCCCTGTTTTGAATTGACAATAGCTTTCATTAAGAATGTTCATTTGTTTCTAGACACAACGAAAAATATTAACATGAGTAACCAGTGCAAAAAAGTGTTAAACATATTTATTCTTGTTCTATATTTTAATTACACGGGAAATAACCATAACGACAGATAAATAAAAAGTCAATTTTCAGTTTTATAAATTGTTGTAGAAAATTACTTTATCCTTTCTTATTTACTAATGATATAAATGAGATTTGTATTTTATTATTGTAAATAGTTTGTAATGAATAAATAAATATAACAACAAAGATGGAAAAACTGTTTCAAACCATGAGTAGCTTGGGTCCGTTCCCCAATGGCATCCATTAGAATAATATAGAATTTCGATTGTTTTTATTTTAATACCCCAATATCCCATAACAATGAAACATTTACATTATAATAGAATAGTTTTATGTTATTTCCTATAAAAGCCCCAAAAATCAATGCAAATTTTATGTATGTTATTATTCATATTCAAAAATCCCATACATCAATGTAGTATAAATGCTGAATTTACAAATTGCAGTTTTCATAATAAGCCATCAGAATAAAAAATACCAACAAAAGGATGAGATTTAAGATTTTAAAAATATGTAAATGTTCTTGTCAATAACTTCCAAAATTTTACAGTAAATAATAATTATTGAACATATTTTTTATTAATGTATAACTTTTAATAATAATTTTAAAACATTGTTTCCCACTGTTAAAAACTAATTGTACATTTTTATGTTTAGGTATGACACAGTGCAGACTAAGATCCGATGCCAGTGCTGGATGGCATTGACATGGGTCTCAGCAGCAATGATGTGCTGTCCACCACTGCTAGGCTTCAACCAGCCCAGGTTTGATGAAGATGCCCTCATCTGCTTGTTGGACTGGAAAGACATGGCTGCCTATTCAGCCACCCTTGCTGTCCTCGTGCTAGGCCCTTCTGTCATCACTATTGTCTATACTTACAGTTATATCTTCACCATGATGAGGCGGGTTAGGAGTGGTGCTCCCATCCATGATAAAGAATATGCTACTGCTCTCTCTGAGAACTTAGCTAATCCTACTCATATCATGTCCTTTGTACTTGTGGTTGTCTTCTGCCTTTCTTGGGCACCTTTCATCTTGGTCCGTATTTATGAGGGTACAACAGGCAACCGTCTTAATCTTTTCTCACACATTCATTTCTTTGTTTTCTGGCTAGGAGTTCTGAACTCAGTATGGAAAGCTGTCATCCTCATTGTTATGAGCCCACAATTTCGCCTTATGCTTCGCATCCTTGGTTTTACTCTTTGCTGTCGTCATCGTGCGAGGCTGCAAATGGAACTAATTGGCATGGAAGATGAATGAATTATTAATTCTAAAGAACCCACATACTTTTTCAACGATACATGACATTGAATTTTTATTATAACTTTACTATAATTTAATAACTTAATTGAGTATTATATCTAATTTAAAAGGAATATTTTTATTACTACAGGCAATTTATTTCCTGTATACAGTGTGATTTATTTCAATTTCAAAAGCAATTTTCAAAATCATCGATTTAGCTTCAAAGGCCTAAAATACTTGTAACTCTGTTAATAATTAATTATAAATAATAATGCAATTAGTTGCCTTATAAAATTAGTTTAGGTCAATTTTATTTTTTCATTTCTTGTAAAAAGACAATCCAAAGAAGCTATATCTCATTTAAGTTAATTATTGGATGATAAACATTTGATTTCCTGAGGTTTTGGCTTCATTTAATACTCACAGGTAAATGTTTCCTGCAGTAATTAGACAATCTATAGTCAATTGTTGATTTTTTTTTTCTTTTTTAATTTAAAACCATGCATTACTTGTTAAAGCATTTGAATTCTTCAATGCATTAATAAATTGTTTCAAAGAATCAAATTACATGTAAGAATCTCTAAAATATTCTGAATAATTTTGATATACATTGATAAATAAATAAGTAAATAACAAGTATTAGAAATATATACATGCTTTAAATGTTTTATTAGTCCCCTAAAAATCTGTTTCTATCCAAGCCAAAGCTTCAGTTCAAATAAAGTTATCATATATCTCTGTTGTCATTAGTCACTTTAAATACAATATTTTGATTTTAGAAATTAAAAATTTACAATCATAATGTTAACTTATTTTTTTACAGTTAATTGTATCTTCTCTTTAGCTCCTAAATTAAAATATCCCATGCATTGTCAAAGATAATTACTATTTTTAGTATTTTCAAGTTTTTTCAAGTATTTCCAAAACCGGCTAACTTCATTTCCAATTTTCATTATTTTACTTTTTCCTTCTACAGTTTTTGTTTTATGTTTCCATGAGGTGGAAAAAACAATATATATGTGTGCAATATTATCATGTGAGTACAAAAACTATTCTACAAAAATAAAATAATAAAAATTGGAAAATGGAGTTTTCTGGTTTTCTAATAACACACCTGAGTTGTAGATATTGGATTAAAATGCATATCTTGACTTTTACTTTTTTTTTTTAAAGAACTCTAATAATCTTTTCACAAATATCCTCTTTTGGAATTTGTCTCTAGTTCAATTTTGATAATCTTTCACTTTGTGGTACAAGATAAATTGTATTTTGCATAGCTGATCATTCAGCTTCTGGGAAATTAAAATTTAATAACTTCAACACTTAGAAATAAATTATTATAACATTGAAGAATAAATTACTAAAAGTGAATTCATTTCAAAACATTTGAAGCTATTACTTGCTCTATTACTGCATAAATATTCATTAAACAAAAGTGAAAAACACACTAACAACACTTTTTTGTCACATAATTTATATTTCAAGGGAGATTAATTAAAAATAAGTTAATTAAAATAATTTGTGTAATAAATGTGAAGGAAACAAATAGTATACAAATAATATACATTACGATTACACAAAATAAAATACTGACATTCTAAAAAATCAATACTGAGTTATATTAAGAGCCCTCTAATAATTATGAACAAATATGCTCTGGAATTAGACTAATTATTCACTTATTTAATTAAAATTACCTGACTGGCTTACATGTGATGAATAAGAATTACTAATCATTCATTAGAATAAAAAAAAAAATTAACTTCCAGAAGCCCCTTAAACATGTATTGCTCTAGATGATTCCTATAATTTACGTAGTGCATTTCTGTAAATTTTAATTATGTTTAATTTATGTTAATAATCATCTTTTTTTAAATAATAAAAATGAAAGAAAGTTTAATATTTGTGTTACGCTTAAATAATATTTAATGTCAAATAGATACTGGATATTACTAGCAAAAATAGAAAAGCAAGATGCAAATTATCCCCATTCGACTCTTTCAAATTTTAATTGCTATTCTGTCAAAAAGATCTTTTAGTAGATATGAACCACTTTTCATAGTATAATTTAATTATTGAGGATAATTATAAAGTAATAGATAAAATTATGATATATTAATCTAATTTCTTTGACTATTCTCAAACTTTACTATTTTGCTAATGAAATCTCATGATTTATATGAGAATTTTCAGCAATAACCAGAAAATGACATAAAACACCAGTATTCCTACTTAAAAAATTATGTTTATATGTGTGTTAATGTATGTATTTTTATATATACACACATATAATCATTGAAATATATATAAATTCATAGATCTGTATGTACAAATCGTTTTAATATTCATTGATTAAATATTATTACTATCAATATACTTATTAAACTGCAAATTACGCCTTATCTAGATATGTGGTGTGGTTTAAGCTCAATGTATGTTATATTCCCATTTTGCCTATCCCATTTAGATTCCTACCCATTTTTTCCTAGCTCCTAGTAATATAGTTTCCATGACATTGCGACAATCAACCAATGATAAAAATTCAATCTAATATATATACTTAATATCTTATTCAACTTTGTTTGATATAATATTATCTATATTATGGTGTATAGTGGAATATACCTGAATAATGTACTTCCTTAATTACAGCTAATATTTTAAAAAAATAATAATTTTAAAAAAATATTTTGAGCATTAACTCTCTCTCCTAAATTAAAGAAATAAATAAAAACAAGCTAATATGATAACATAAGTTAAAAATAAATAAAATAGCTTATTTTTAATGAGATGTCGCTGATGTTGCTGTTATAGAAATAATTGTATTTAAGTCTAAACTAGAATTTTAATGTCAATATGTCCATTTTTGTTATAAAAGAAATACAGTATGGGTATGTAAGAGTATGCATGAGTGTATATATATATATGTAAAACATATTCTAAACTGTTATTATTTATTGGACATCTTAATTAAATATAAATAGTTGATTGCATCTATTTCAAAAATTCAACAATCAATATGAATAATATGGAAATACAGTTTTTTTCCGTCATAATTACTGCAGAACAAAATTTCCTTCTTCTATAGTCATGTATTATTCATTAATTTTATTTAAATGAAAATAATGGGAAAAAATATTTATTTACCATAAATAGTGCTCATTGTTATTTCTTATAATTTAAATCTGATACGGTAAGTAGGGTAATAGCTGAATTCTATTAATAAGCTGAAAAATAAATAAATTTATTCATAAACACTTTTAATATTATAGTAAAATTGACTAAATATTATTTTTATTTGAAAAATAAAGAAAAGTTTTTGTTAGTTCATTTAAAATCCAAGGGATTTGTGCAAACAGTTTTCATTTGTGATCAAAGTAATCTTTTTCTAGCTATCATGAAGCAAGTTCCACTAATTTCTTGTTCTTTTACATGTCTCGAGAATATTTTTATTATGTTGGATATGAAAACAGTTGATTGTGGCAGCCATTTCATAATTTGATTAGTTTTTGTCCTATTTTTACTTTAAGAAAACTGTAGCAAAGATTTGGAACATTTTGTAAACAAATTTAGAACTATTTAATATCTATCATGATATGTAATACAGGAAAGTTCCTAAAACTTGTTCTCCCTTTCCACAGATATTATGGTCCCTAAACATTTCCACACCATAGTTAATTAATTAAATTAATTTAGATTTACCATTGAAGGTATCATACACCGAAAGGGCCTTTTCCTCTAATTGCTTAGAGTTTTAAGTTAATAAGAAATGTTGCCATTAGAATTAATGAATTGAAAGTTTCTCCTACTGATGTTTATTTATTTATTTTACCTTGTGAAGGTCATCATTTTGTTAACATCAAGTCAGAAGTGGTGCCAGTTTGAAGCCTGTTTGAATTTCTTCTGCATTGTTTCAAATTTATTTTATGACGGACCCACAGACTGAATCTCGAACTTAGGTAAGATAAACCTGTCCTTCCTGGTCTTTGGACACTAAGCCCAATTATACATTGGCTTGATTTGCTGAAAGTAAGTTATATGAGACATTTCTTTCTAAGAATATCCATATCTAGAATAATTTCAACTTCAAGACAGTTTCCTAATTTCTTGTTATGGTTTCATGGACTTTGGAAACATACAACTGCACTGCAGTTTATCTTTTATGTTTACCTCTTTTAAATATCAGAACCACTAACTTATTTTACCTTCCTCATTTGTAACAACTTTAACTACAAATAATTTTCAAAAAACATTGACTTCTGAAAATTAGATTTTGAATATTCATAAAATGAATTTTTGAAATAAATCTAAAAATACAAGATGCAATGAACTATTAAGATGATGTACCGAATGATTTAAATTTTGAAGTGATAAAAAAAATTCAATATGTATACATCCACTTTTTGTACATAAATTTAATAGAAATTTTTGTAAAAGATGTAAAATAATAAGCATGTTGACGCATGTTAATTTTTTTTTTCTTCATTTATTTATGTGGTAGAAAGATATAGAGAGTAAAAATTCAATAAAAAGGAAAGCATGTCTGTCTGTTATTTGTATATACAAATTTTATCCTTAAAAAAAAAATGTGCCTTCCCTTCTTCTCTTTCCAAATGTTATAAATAATAAAGAACTTTTATAATCAACAATTTAACATTATTTGATTTATAAAAATTTCAATTAGTTTTCTAAAAAGTACAGAATATTCTAATTATCAATTCTCTGATAACAACAAAACAATTAATGTGAAAAGATGAAACTGGAAATGAATGAGGAGACCTTTGCTGTGTTTTAAATAGCATGTTATAAAAAATGTTTTTTGAAATTGTAATGTATCATTTTAAAATAAAGTACACAAATTTAAGTGGAAAATAATATTATATTTTTTAAATAAAAGTAATCTTGTGTACATAGAAAAGAAGAATAAAACCCTCCTAATATGTTCCAAATAAAACTTACTTTTCGAAACACTAAGTTGAATAATCCATTGAAATGTTTGATCGTAAATGTATCTTCTTGGATTTTCAACCTTGTTATTGTATTATTAAATTATTGGTCTAAATAAAATTTATACTTTTATTTTTAATTTTTCATCTTATCTTGGTTTAGGGTCTCTCATAATATCATTATAAATTTAATAAAATATATTGTAATAACTACTTTCTATTTTATTCATTTATTTATTTTAAATTCATCAATAATAATCGGAATACAAATTATAACTTCAAAATTTATAGTCTGAATTATTTGAAATCTATACCATGCAGATTTATGTAAAATCTTTACCATATGTATAATGTAAAATAACCATCAAACATCACTGTAATGCATTTTAACTTTTAACATGTCTAAATTTCATGTACATATTTCAATTTGCAAGCTTTTTGTTCTCAATCTTATAGTAAATGATTTGTGTTTTTAATAAAAATTAGTACTGCAATCTAATGTTGTAGCATAGACTTCTTTTTTCATTAAATTTTAAATTTCAGAAATCATAAATTTAAATCTATGTGTAAGTATATAAATACATGTATTTAACCTATGGGTTGTAATGTATTAATATATGGGATTTTAACCTAAAGTAACAAAATTTTATCAACTATTTTTCCACTAGCAATATTCAACAAAAAATAATAATTTAAAAAAATAAATAGTACTTTTTGTGTATTTTATTAAAGAAAATTGTTTTAACCTTCAATCTTCAGTATACTGTTTAAGCTAACATATAATATAACATAAAAACTGGCATTTGCTGGAAGATGTTCATTTTATTATTTTTTTTTTTTTTTTTACTTAAAAAGTAAAGATTTAATTATATTTTGGAACTTACCACAGATCTATTGATGTGAATAGAAATAAATAGATGAAATTGAAAATAAAAAAGGAAATCTTTGGTTATTTTTATTCATCACCGTACAGAAATATGAGTTCTATAGGAATAAAGTAATAGAAATACTTTAAATTTATTCTTGCGATTGAGTATGTCTAAAACAGAACATTCAAAGATTGTTTTATTCACAATTATTTTGTCAATTGTTCAATATCAGGAAGGCAACATTGGAAAGCACTTTTTGAAATATTTTCTTATATTACTGCATTCAGTGACAGCTTTAATTATTATCTAATATAACATACCTATCTGTCTGCCCTTTCATTATTAACAATACTACCTCATTAATAAAGTACATCTGTTATTTTATTTTATGAATGAACAGATATGTTTTTCCTTAACAACATTTGAATGATCAAACATTGATTAGGTAATTAAGCTTATAGTGAAAATGCAAGGAATATTGGTCATTGTTGGTCTTGAGGAATAAATATTAATTGTAGACGTTTTGTGTAGAAATTAGGCTGTTGCATGTTGCCTTTAAAAGTAAATTGCCATTAAACGCATGTGATAAATAAGTCTGCCACTTACATTACAAAGGTGTTAATATAGACTCAATTGCAAAGCTAATAAATATGTATATATATTATATAATATATAATATATTACAATCATACATAAAAAAAACTGATATTTTTTAACTTTTCTTTTTTTTAATCTTCAGTTTTAAGCTATTTAAAACTAGATGCAGCCTATAGATTTTATAAATCAAATTTATTTGTTATTTTATCCACTATCTCCATGTAAATTTGTATTAAATGTATACAATATAAAAGATATATTTAAATATATAGATTAGTTCAAATGAAAAGTTTAAATACCATAACATATCGATTTCTACAACATACATTTGTGCTATTGAAGGAAAGAAAGATTTGTTTAAATTCCTTCTGCTATATAACTCAAACATAAAAACATAAACCATAATTTAACATTTTTCTGTAAATCTTTAAGATTTAAAATATATATAAATTAAAAACTGCATATAAATATATTTAATGTTTATAGTTTAATGATTCAATAATCTGTTTTCAAATCTTTGAAATCTAAAATCTTCAAAAATAACTCGTTTTAAAATGCTTAACATCATTTTAATAACAACTTGAATGCCTAATTGAGTGGACAAATGAAATCATAGTATTTAGCATTAAATAATTTTCAAGGTGTTTTCAGCTGAATTAGCTATTTTAAACCGTTAAAAGCTGTTTTTTTATCAAAAATGGGTAAAATTTGCAAGTATTATATTCTGTTGGTTTTCTGATACTTACCTGTGATAACTTAATATCTTCAGTAATTATAGATAGTAAAATGTTTATCATAAAACTGATTAATTTAATTTTAATTACTTTCTAAACTAAATTGTCAGTTATTTTAAACATTTAATTAGTTTGGCTTACTCAATAAAGTTTTTTCATATAAAGTGCCAAGGTCTTTGACCTACATGTTTCTGATTCACTTAATTTTTTATACATTAGTTACATCCACATTATGAATCTATTTTTTCTTGAGTATTTTTTTTATCAATTTTTAAAGTTACTGAAATTTGCTTGTAAATTTACAATTATGGTGCTAGAGTGGTGATTAAATATGCTTTCATTTTATATGTAACATGAAATTCAAAACAGGATTTTTTTACTTTCTTTCAAAATTTTCAATTTTGGAAACCCCAAAACAAGTTATTTAAGATTTTTTTAAAAATATATGTTATTCGGACATATATCGGTTGGACCTATAATCATGCCAAATTTCAAGATGGAGATATGATATATTTTAAAATTCTAAGACGACAATTTTTCAGAGTTTCAAAATTTTGGAAATAAGTATAATAAATTTCTTATTTTGAGGTTATCGTGTTACATATCAAATGAAATCCCATACAATCATCCCTCTAACACCATTGGTTTTAAATCCATGAGCATTTTTGTGATTAGAAACATATTGAAATTTGGTTGATCCCGAAATTTTAAAAATATATTTTAAAAACTACTCACGAAAAATTATTTAAAAAAAAAGATTTACAATGAATACCATTTAAAAAATCATGTAAATTGGAAACAAGCATGTTCAAAATTTATTTTTCATTGGATGATTTGACATGGAATGGTAATTTTCTAAAGCAAACATTAAAAAGTTCGAAAAGTTACCTTGTTTACTTATGAGTTAAGATGTAGTATAAAACTAAGAAGTTAATTTTAATCATATTTGATCATTTTATCTGAAGTCAGATATAACTGTAATCATTAATTATTATGCCATAACCAAGACTCATCTCTTTCCGAAGTCATTAATTGTTAATGGTTACAACATTAATAAAGAATTAACTAATTACAATATTATTACTACTGGCTTAAACTAAGGAATGACAAGTTTTTTGGCAAATTGTTCAAATTACTATTTTATTGAACTTAATAGAATATAAAACACAATTTGGGAAATATTATGATTAAAATTAAGCTTTTGATTGTAATGATTGTAATGAATCTGACAATAAAAAGTTTATTTATTTTTGTTTAATAAGTTAGTTAATATATAATTTTTTATCATGTTATTTTTCTAATTAAAAATTATGAGCTGGAAAAATTATTATATTTTTTATTTAAAATTCTATTATTAACTCCTCACATTCCATTCTTATTTGGTTAGTAATAACTTAACAATTCCCAGTTTAGTACATTATTGAGAGTAAATTATGAAATCAACTAAAAGGTATCTATCTCACCTGAAATTAGATAATAACACAATTTCTTAATTTTAATCTATTTACAAAAGGAGCTTAATTATCTATTTGTGAGTGTCTATAAAATCATTGATTCCACTCAGCAACTGATATCTGCTCAAAATTAATACAAATTAAGAATTTAGTGAAATGTAGAAGCAAAAAAGAGGAGTTAAGAAAAAAGATTCCAAAATTCAGTTTATCGAATTTCTTTAAATTACTAATCAATAATATGTACTTGTCAAAGAAGATTTATCACTTTACTAGAGCTGATCCATCTCTCTATAAACTCTGTTTTGATGTTAAAATAAAAAATGATTTCAAGAGATGTCAGAGTTAAGAGATGATATAGCTTGGGAATGATGGCAGGATGCAAAGCACATAGTAAACATTCAGACATTTATGATTTTGACAACAACTAGTTTAGAACCAAGGAATTTGAAACTTGTCAATCAATATTAATAAATGCCAAAGTACAAAATAACATTTATAAATGGGACTTTAAGTACGTAGACACCAGCTTTAAAGTATTAAATTTAATTCTTGAATTAATTTAATTTAAATATATTAAATCTAATCCATGGAAGTAAGAGAGAAAATAAATCTAGCCATCAAAGTACTAGGAATAAGGAAGGCATTGAGGATTAAAAGAACTACTTGGTGAAATAAAGAACAAATAATAGACAGAAGAAAAATATCTTAAGATAAACGTCCAAAAGAGATAAACTAAATATAAATAAAAGAAAAAGAAAGGTGGAATACTTACCTTTTAATAGGAAACCTGAAAAAAACATTAGGAACGAGCAAGAAAAAACCTGGCCAAATCAAATAATCATCCAAAAGAACTTTCAAGATATAGCCTATACTTTTTCAACATTTCGTCATAATGAGCAGTAATCAATCATAAGTAGTTTACCTGTGCTATTTATATAAAGAAAGCTGTTATAATCGGTTTATTACAAAATTGATAGCTTAAGAATCGCATTTGAGAAATTCTAGAAGTGAGACCAAGTAGAGATTGGACGAGAATGGTTACAAAGGTTTAGTTAGGTATCTACATTAGTAAAAACAATTGAAAAGAATTTTTTTTAAAAACTAATCTACATTTTCTAAAGTATTTATTCCTCCTTTTAATAAAATAAGGAGAGCCTAGAAAGGTTTGATGTACATTATAAGTCAAACCTTTCTGGACTTACCTTCCTTTTTCTTTGTTTTGCATAAATAAAAGAAGGACTACGTAATTAATATATATATATATATATATATATATATATATATATATATATATATATATATATATATTACTATAGCTGCATATTTAGAGGAAACATTTTTTATAAGTCAGAACAATAATACTACAATAAGTTTCAAATCCTCCTGTTATATTAGTTATTAAGACATTACAACTTTTCTACTTTTTTTTCTTTAATGAAATAATTAATTTTTAAAAAATCATGGGAAGGCATTCTTAGACTACACTTACTTCATGAAAATGGACATTTTAAAATACAAAATAGGCTGATTCATTAAGAGAGATAATAAACTATAGTTATGATAAACTTCCTGATAATCAGATTCATTTATTTAATATTTAATGCTAGATTAATTTTATGTTAAATAATGTTTAATGTAAAATGCCATTATCAATAAAATTATAATTTAAATTAAACAGAAAATTATAAATTAATCATTTCATAAATTAACATATTTGATCAATTATTCCACTTTAGTAAGGGATTTGATCAAATTTTCGAATTTACTACTTTTAAATTGAAAAATAGCTTTTGTATTGATTATATTTGATTGTTAATACTTTCAGATATAAATAACACAAATGTTTCTTCATTGTAGTTTTGCCATTATTGGTGTTTAGAAAGTGTTTCCAACAAGGCCTACAATTGTGAAAGACTAATAATGTAGGCCTCTCATATTTCTTCAATATATATTTTCTTTTTAAATATTCATCAGCCATAAAAGTAAAGAATGCTAGAAAAAATTAAATTTTAAAATCGTTATTAAAGCTTGTGGCCATATTGTTGAATGTTTAGATTTTAGAGTGTCTTGTTCCTTATATAGAAATTACTCTGCAATATTTGTAGTCAAATAAGGCTGCAATGTTTGGGTCTAGGCAAAATTCTGAATTAAACAAATACAGGATAAGGTTAATTTTTTTTTTTGTTTCAAAGCCTAGACCTCAAAGAAATTGTTGTAGATAAAAGCTTTTAAATGTTTGTACTAATAGGCAAATTGCATTAAAATAAATTTAAAAAATACAATATACTCTTATAACATTGATGCTCAGATTTCATTTTTATTTAATAAAAGTGTTAAGATACTTCTGGAGTAATTTCTAATTTTTTGAAAATGTATAAACAATATAGTTTGATAGTTTTATAATAGTTTTTTAAACTTAAAATTGTATTATAAAAATCAGAGTAAAATTTTATTGATACTGTTTTTAAAGATGTACAATAGAATAGAATTATAAACTATAAATCGCATAAACACTAAAGATTTAATGTTTTTATTTCCTAACCCTTTTACCAATCATATGGTGAGGCAGACAACAGCAAGAAGTCTACACTATATTGATGCAACTGAAGAAATCATTTTTTCTAATTCTAAATACATACAAACAAACCTATATATAGCAACTGAGTTTAGTACATAGGGTGTCTACAAGAGATTTGGATTCCCTGACTTTTTCCACATCTTAAATAAAATAATGCCCCTTCTCCTTCCAAAAGAAGTTAATGAAATAAAAAATGTGAATTATTATAAAAATCTTTAGTCACAATATTAAAAAATATTTATTGATAGATTAAATACCACCAACCATGAATAATGAAAATTATATGACAAACCAAACTTGAGTTGATTCCAAATATTAAAACATTAATTTTTTATGTTCAAAGTCAAAAAACATTGATGCTCTGCACTAACTCTAAATTAACAGATGGACAGGAGGTAAAAGAGAGTCGACAAAAATTCATCATTAAATTCTTAATTAATTATTAACTTTAATAACTAACCTAATTAATCTCTTTTTTATTTAAATTATAGCATCAAATGTAATGTATTTTTGGGAATAAATTATCAATATAGGAAATTTCTCTCTCTCTCTCTATATATATATATATAAATGAGTGTGAGTGTGATTAGTGTTAAAAAATCTAATGTGTGTTCTATACAATATATATATATATATATATATATATATATATATATATTATATATATACAGTGTGTCTCATAGACAGAGGGAAATATTTAAATGGGTGACAGCAGACTTCAAGAGCTACAATTAAATTTATATTAACAATGGTTATAGGGCATTTCTTTGGTATTGAAGCTTTCAAAGAATCTTTAAAGCGAATAAATTAAGCTAAGTTCTGTTATAAAAAAAACAATACATGAATTCATGACTTTTTTTTCAGGAAAATAGCAGTTTTCTTTATTTTAACTATAAATATGGATCAATTCCTATAATAGAGATCTAATAAAAGTCAGTTTTATTATCACTTTAAATGATAAATATTAAAAAAGTCATTATTTTTAACATTTCTAAAAATAAACAGTGCATCTATGAATTTATCTTTATTATGATACAGCCTAGGTAATGGAAAAAAAGTAGTTAAAGCTTTGCAATAATTTTTACTGAAAACACGTGCACTTTTAGCTGACAGGGTATCATAAAATAACCTCATTAGTTTATACAACTTGAGGTGAATACTAACTTATTTCATATAAACCTCAACTTAATTAATATGTGCATAAAGTTTATGAAGCTATTGAAGGAAGTTATTGTAAAAGTGGTGTATCATAGTTAAAGGATGATAACAAAAATTGCAAATAATTCATGATTTTTTTAAAACAGTACTTAGCTTAGTTGTAAAATGAAAAACTATACTTTCATTTGAAGTAAATTTTGCCTAGTTTACAGTGAAGAAATTGTTAATTACTTAAAAAAACTGAGTATTTTTTCTTGATCGATTTTCCTGTGCAACAAAAAACATGACTTTAAAAAACTACAAAACCTACATTTGCTACTTGTACAATATTGGGAGGCCCGGTATATGGCATATGACCGGAAGCCCTTTTCATATAAAAAAAAGAAATTTTTGATTGAAAGAAATATTTCTAAATGATACGACTTTTAGAAATAGAAAATCATCTTTATTCTTTTATGATATTAATTCCCTTTTATATCTTCCAAATTAACATCTCTGAAGGGGCATGAGTTTTAATGGGTTAGTTTATTAATCGTAAGACGTAACATACAATTATTTGCGGGGAGATTGATATCAAGTCTGTAGAATTGTTGCCTCTCTCCTATGCTGCCGCTCTCCCCTGGCTCATCTAAGCCGTCTCATCGCTGCCTTCGTTCGTTCTGCCGAAGGGCTGCATATTCTCTGTCCGTTAGCTGTGAGCTGCTTCAAGTCTGCAGAGCAAGTGAGGACAAGATCGGGTGCTTTATCAAGCATTTGAACCTCGTACTTAGATAATGCTGTCTTCGATAGGGGCCAAGACATGACGAGACTGGCAAGACATGAACAATTCAAACTTTTTTTCATCCTCCCTGTTCTAGCTGGAATTCAAAAAATCCTATTTCTGCGAGTCTTTAAGCAGTCCTACTTTTTTTCCATATTTACTAATCAGAAATTATCAGTTCTACTTTAATCACTCAAGTCGAAGAAATGCTCTTATTTTAACATATTCAGTATTTTTTTCTTATTTAAAAAAAAAATAATCAAACAAGATATCCCTTAATTATTCACTTACTAAATTAACAAGATTAGAAGTAAGGTATATTAATTAAAAAAAAAAATAACCGTGCTTCTTTGCAAAATTCAAAAGTCAAAATTATCAACCACATGAAAAATAACAATTTAATTGATAAAATGTTAAACTTTCTACAAATGTTGAGGAATAGTAAATGATATGTTTAATTTATTCAAATCTTAGCCAGAGATAGAAACACATAATAAGATTATCTTTATTATGAGGGAGAAAAAAAATCCGTAATATTCGATTCCCTTATTTATTTTTTAATAACATATATAATAAATATCAACGCTTTAGTTTTATAATATAAACAATATTTATATTTTAATAATATTTTGTACCTAATTGCACAAGTTTTCAAAGTCTTACATTTCTTAAGCACGAATAAAGAAAAAGTCTAAATGGCTTTAGAAGGTTGATCTGATAAACAATAATTTAATGTAAAAAAAATGAGTAAACAGGAATTACTTACTTTCTAAATATATTACAATAGACAAAATATTTTGTATCAATATCATGATCCAAAAAACATCACAATAATTATACAATTTATTACCCAAGAGTAACAAAAAAAAATGAAATAAAATAAAATGTGAAAATTAAAATTTATTTATTTCTAGAACATATACAGATATATACACAAGGTATGTTTAAATAATATACATTTTATATATATAAGGCTTTTAAAAAAATAAAAATAATCCACAGATAATAATAAATCAATTAATAAAAAATATTTCAACATTAGCATTATTTCAACATAAGTCATTAAATAATTCTAGAATTAATGGTAAATCATATTCGAAACATTAACATCAGTATATTATAGCTATTATTCTAATCTTATATGAGTATAGATAAAACTTTAACAATATATATAAATAATATTCATATATACCTCTACATTCAACTGTATAAACATTCAATAATGAAATATTAATTACAATAATATAATAAAATCTTAGATAATACTGGAAGGACGCTTCCAAAAAAAATCAATATAAAAAATTTGATTCATTAATTCAACATGACACATCTATCATAGCTGTCTCCTTTTAATGAAATTAAATCAATAAAATGGTACAGTGTTTTAAAACTACAAAAAATTTGCAATAAATACCATCTTCCCTATAGATAGCTATTTAAAATAAATACAAATTTATCCAAGACACAGCACTCCTTTCATGTAATAATACATTATGGTATGTACAGATATAAATTTATGTAAAAGAATAAATGAAATGAACTATCTTAAAACCCGAAATAGAAGAATTTAAGATTAGATCATGATAGAGCAGTAGAAGTGGCAGCAATTATCGCTGATAGAAGACCAGCACTGTCGGATTTGCCATCTAGGCTCAATCTAATAGGGTCAGACTTTATTAATAAGCAAACTTGATTCCCAGAGCTCCCTACAGTTCTAGCCCACAGGGTAGCAGCCCTGTCATCAACAGTCTCTATGATTCCTAGTCCTGTTTCTTGGCACACCTGTTTCAGCCTCTGAAAAAAACATTCAAGTTTTAAAAAGCAAGACAACCTTTAAATTAGCATTATTTATTGATACATTTATTTATTTTTACAAAAAAAAAACTTTTAAAATAAAATACTGAAAGTTTCTGAAAACTAATACTACCACATTCAGTGACTATATTTTGCCAACAATTAGTTGGAAGCCCATGGGTCATGTGGCTCTAAGCTAAAACTAATGTTTATTTTTTTTCTCCTACAAAGAAAAAAAACTGTTATCTTTTTTCCTTACCCTCCAATATTACCAAAATATGTACAAGTATATACATATATTACAATATTAAAGTATTATCAAATGGAAAGTAAGGAAAAATGTTTTTCTAAAAATTTTTTGATACCTTTTTCTAACAATTGCATAATTCAAAATAATAAACATCAAACATTAAAAAAATCTGCTCTCATCTTTGTTGGCCTTAATAAAGTGTGTTTACTAAGAAACAAAAACAGAATTTAAGAATTCGAGATTCTTGCAATTTTTCTAGTAAATAACCCTTATTTCGTTTGTATTTATCGCTTCCTATTCAACAAATAAACATGACTTACTTAATAAGACATGGGAGGGCACCCAGGATGTGATCGGTCTTGCATATAAAACCTATGTACGCCCAGTACTGGAATACGGTTCTGAAGTCATCTGTACTGCGGCTGATGCATCTCTGAAAAGATTAGACGACCAGCAGAACAAAGCTCTGCGTTTGATTTTGGGTGCACCGCGCTCAACCCCTGTTGTGGCTATGGAACTGCAGACCACAGTAGAACCTCTATCGAAACGGCGTGAGCGAGCTGCAATGTGCCTTCATGAGCGAATGAAAAGAATAGACCAAGAGTTTTGGAAAAAATACAAAATCCCCTCTCAACGGCTCAAGACACAAAAATCCTTCATGCTTAAGGCGATGGCACTACTTGAAGAAAGAGGGCTTGACTGCGAAGAAAGGGAACCATTTATACATCCACAGTTACCAATTCACAATCACGCATGCAATGCAGAACTGCAACTCCTTCATAAGGTGGATAAGAAAAAAACACCTGAATACGAGCTGAAAGCATTAGCATTAGAAACCATAGCTCAAAAGTACCCTCCTCAAGATTGGTTCCATATCTATACCGACGGATCAGCTGAATCAGCCGTTAAAAATGCTGGAGCAGGGGTTTACTCAAGGGAATTCCAAATCAGCACTGCGGTGGGAAAAGATGGAACATATTTTGATGGTGAGATAGCGGCGATCCTCATAGCCTTAAGAACATTGTCTAGAAGGCGGGATCAGAGCGCTGTTCTCTTCATCGACTCCCAAGCAGCCATCCTTGCTGTCACAAGCACGAATGAATGTTTATCGAGTGCTATATTGGAATGTAAATCCCTCCTCTCTAACCTGACACACCGAGGCAGCAATGTGGTCCTACAGTGGATCCCCAGCCATTGTGGGATTCCGGGTAACGTTGAGGCTGATATTCTTGCCAAGCGAGGAACAGATTTGCCTCAGCCGATACATCCAAAACCTTACGACTCAATACGGCGAATGGTGAAGATGGTAGTGAAGGAGGAAATAAGAAAAGTACATTTCGGCAAAGTGGAAGGGAAGCGTTACGAGTAGTTGAAGGATAATCCGATTCCAGCTGAACTGCCGAGAAGAGATGCAGTTGCCTGCTTTCGCCTGGCCACTGGTCACGACTATCTGCAGAGTCATCTCTACAAGATAGGCGTCGCTGAGGATCCTAGTTGTAAATTGTGTTATCTAGCAACAATGGATGCAGACCATCTAGAAGCATGTCCTGCCTTGAGGGACATAAGAGGCAAATTTTTTCAAATATACATATCAGAAAATCTAAATTATACTGGGCAGCAAGATGTCGGATGGCCAAATGACCAACGAATGGCATAAGAAAAAAAAAAAAAAAAAAAAACTTAATAAAACACAAAATTTAAAGTTCCTCCTTTTCTTTCATTGATATCTGTGTAGGAATACTTCAACTTAATTTATTCAGTTAATTCTGAATTTGTACATTTATTAAACATTAAAAAAAAAAAACACCTGTTGGAATGTGTAAGGTGATGCTATAGGAGAAAAAGTTAAAGCAGCTGAGTGTTGCAATTGTGATGTGACTACTTCTGAAGGTGGTGATTCACTGGTTAGAAAAATGGGGAGAGGAATTGTGAGCCACACATCCAGTTTGTCCAACAATTGTTCACCATTTGCATTCTGTAAGAAAAAAAAATTATATATATATATATATATAAACATAATTATTTAATTTTGAATAAGGTCACTTATTAATTATTCAATAAACTACTAAATGTTCATTGCTTCTGTGTTTAATTGACGTTTCGATCCCGTTTTTTTTTTTTTTTTATACGTTAACAATGGGATCCTCTTCAAAGCTCAGGCCAGGGACACACCGACAGTCTCAGCACCGTCCACCGACATTATATTATATATTAAGCTACCAATGAGTGTCTAATGTATATAACAGAGGAATTTATAGATTTCAAGATAATCATAAGTTGTTATAAAATCTTAAACTTACTTGTTGGAGATAAGACACTGTAGCACGTAGCCTATTCTTAGGAGCGATCTCACTTATCCTAAGTGTTAGTGCTGTCTCACCACTTCCTCCAGGAGATAAAATAAGACCCAATTTTCTTCTTACTTCAACACTACCAAGCTATAAAAAAAAGTTATATATGATTAAAATAAATAAAAAATATATATACATATATTAACAACTAAATCATAGATGAATTATTCGAATTATTGCATATCAGGATTTTTTATTTTTTTTTTATTAAAGACCACACACTTTAAATATTATAATTCATTTAAAAATTATTGGTCCTTACTGTTTGGTCTAGATTTAATAAACAGAAAAGAAAATTTTTAAAAATCTTTTTTAACTTAAAAATTCACTTTTACTTAAACAAACAAAGGCATTACCTCATTTATTAACTGAATGTTATTAGAATCAGAAACATTAATTTCAATATTTCGTACTGTTTCTTGGCTATTATTTGTTATGACCAAATAAGTGACAACTTCATTCTCCATTCCTCCTACATGCCTCACATGATAATCCTTAAAAATAGTACAATGGCATTAATTCTTATTAAGATAAATACAAGAAAATAATAAGCATATGACGCAAAAAAGGATAAAAATCTCACCAGATTTATAGTCTTATTATTTGCCAGCCTCGTAAGTGAAGGCTGATTGATAGGAACATGAGATTCCTTGGACGGAGTAGATATACCTAATGCTTCCTCATAACCATCTTTAATATTCACTAGATTACCTAAAGTACCACCTTCGTTATCTGGTGTCTTCTTACCTAAGACAAAAAAATAATAATCATAATAATTTAGATTATAGTATAAATTTCTGAAAACACATAACATCTTAAAAGGCCAGAGGATATAGTTATTGATCTGTAATGCAGGTCATTTTTCATGCTTATTTTAACTTGGAATCACTCCAACATTTAACTGAAATAGGTACCAAATTAATTGGTTTCAAATTTAGATTTGCTTAATAAATACAATTGCTAAGACAAGTTTGTATAAATAAATTAAAGACTTATGGCAGTTTAATGTTAATTATTTCATTATTCATTGATTTTTATAATGAAATAGGAAGAAAAACAGATAAAATTCTAAAGGGTTCTGTAAATAAACACAGACTTAATCAGTGGACTATTGTTCATAATCAGCATAGCTACAAATCCTACCAATACTTCATTATGCCAATTACAATGAAGTAATTTAAATTGGTAAATATTCGAATAGTTACTTTTTTTATTATGTTTTGATGACTTATGGCTTCTATCTTCAGTCTTATTAACCTTACTACTACTAAGTGACTTTTTCTTTTTCTTTTTTTTGTCTTCATTTTTACTTGATATCACTCCGCTGTACTCATTATGCAGATCATTACCATTTTCCTATATAAAAAAAAATTATATATTTATTGTGACCGGTGAAGTAACGATAAACTACAAATGCTAGATACAAATATCATGTTATATAATACTATATGCTAACTTACTTTAAAAGAGATAATATTATCTGATTTAGATTTTTCTTTATCTTTCTTAATCCTTTTGTGTTTATTAGTTTTAGATGGGAGTTTATTATCTGGCAAAGGTATCCTTTCTTCTTCTTTTAAAGGTCTGAAAATGTTTTTAAATAGATAAAAAGATTAAAACCTCCAAGTGGAAAACATTGGGCATTATTCTTGTCTTTAAATAATTTTATTTTCCCATTCTATTCAACAATTCAGACAGACTGGAATATCCTAGATTTTGTTCTTTTTATAAACAAACTACAAGTAGTACTTCTCAAAAAGACGTTTTCTAAGAAGATTAGTGCGATAGAGTACACATTGCAACAATTAAGTTGGAGACCAGGACATGCTTAAAGAAAAGCATTTTAGTAGGCCAATACTAATAAATGATGGATATATATATATACAACAATTTGCAAATGTAAAATGGTATAAAGATAAATAACGACCAAATCAATAAATTGCCTCTTGAAACTGATATCCTGTTCAAAAATGAAGGTATTGTAACCTGTAAATTTGAAACACAAAACAACTGTTATATTGTATAGAAAGAACTGTTATATTTTCTATTAGAAGTTGAATTGAGACTTATTACTTCTTGGAAACATCTACATCATTGTGATGTAATAAATGGGGCAAACATTAAAAAATTGGCGCTTACGACGTATGGATTTAGATCTATTGATATGGCAGGCATATAAACTAGAATCTCAAGATTATTCAATGCCTATCAGCAGGGTGGAATTATAGAAAGAAAAATCTGGTGTGTCTACTCACACAACTTTCCTACCTATTTCAGAAAAGTTATATCTTTACATATGTCCATCAAGAAACAAAAAAAAAATTAATTAGACTTATTTTCCAGAAAATTGATGATAGAAAAGATTTGAGTACGATTTATTTCATAAACTAAACTAAAGCAATGTAAACCGGATTAAGGTAGATCAGTATAAAAATTTCAATACCCTCTAATATTGTTGATCAAAAACTTTTTAATATAGCCTAATTTTATCAAACAATAATTTCTGTTAAAAGTAGAGGAAATAATAAAGCTTGTGTGATGCGGGTAACAGATTTTCTTACTTTCACTTAGTTATCTTTTTTCTCTCATTCACCGCTTTCTGACACTAGGATATGAACCTGTAATCTTACATGGGAAATTGAATAGCTGTAACTTCATTAATAGTTGTCCAAAATGAACATTTTTTATAGTTTTGTAGGAAATGTCATTACCTTTCAAATAAAAAAAACAGGCTCACAGACAAACAGATAGACAGACAGACCAATGGCTAAAAATGTGTTTTTCGGACTCAGAGGGCTCTGAAACGTATAGATCTATCAAAAACCGCACATCAGAAATTTGACCCAATCACAATACTTTTTATATCTAGTATAGGTAGGAAAGTAGACAAATGTTAACTTGTCCATATATGGCAAAAAATAAATATTTTTTAAAATAAAATACTGACTCATCCAGATTTATGTCAAGAGCAGCATGAGGATCATCAGCCTCTCTCAAACCTGGGTTCTCATCACCAGAATCTACTGCACCGTCTGGCATTTCACCACGTCCTACATATACTTCAACTTCCCTTTCACCCCCACTGGACTCATCACTTTTTCCATTATCTTTTTTACCCTTCCTTTTCTTCTTTTTACTCCTTTCTTTGTTTGAACCTTTTTTAATATATTTTTCTGAGGAAGCCAGACCTAAAAAAAAGTGTCATTTTTTATTTAAAAATGAAATGAAAATGAATGAAACAATAGAAATAAATAAATTTGCAAACCAGGTATAATGAGAGGAACTGAGAGATCTATAGGAGTAACATCGATATTTTTTGCTATGTTTGTTTTACTGCTTTTAAGATAGTTAGGATTCATCTCCTGTTCATGTCTTCTTGCTTCTCTCATCTATAAAATAGTGATAGTATCAGTTGTCAAGAAATCAAGTTCCTTTTAAAATTAAAATGAAATGGTAGAATAAATTACTGAAAATTCATAAAGTTATAAATGTTGATAAGCTTGGATATGATAATATTTTAAACAATTAAATATTTCTCTTTCAAATGCTAATATATAGTTTAAACAGCATTACACTTTCAAATTTTGTAATTTTAATAGCAGTTTAAAACATTTTACAAGGGTAAATGTTGAAAAATAATATATTTCTAATTAGAAACCAATACTAAAATATAGGAGCATCTTTCTTACTATCTCTCTATGTAAATAATGTAGTTATAAAACAGTTTACTTTGTTAAATTTTAAATGTAAATGTTAATAAGGCCAAGCTTAAAAAATACTCCACATGAAAAATAATAATATTTGTCAATTAATCACTTTTTTTTTTTAATTAACTTACTTTGGTCAGTTCTTCTGGAGTAGGTTCAGGAACTGCTTTTTTATCATTTGTATTAGAAACAGTGAATATATCGGGTAATTGATTATTAATGTCATCTAATTCCTCTTCAGAAGAGGAAGATGGAGGATCATTTATCCATGCTTCAAGATCAAGGCTAAAAAAATAAAATATTTTTGTTACATTATAAAAAATGAACTATTAGTTATGGGTTAAATGAAAAATATCTAATACTAGGGGGGTATCCCCTCTCCGCCTAATGGTGGGCCAGCTCCTATTTTACAAATTATACAACTGTTCATTTAATTGTACTACCTGTTGCTAAAATTGTATAATTTTAATTTATATGTATTCTGTAGTTCAGATTGAATTATTTTTTATCAACATAAAAAAACAAAACATTTCCTGTACAAATTTTTATTCTAAAATCTTTATTTTGTATTAGGAGAGTAAGAGACAACAGCTCAACACATATGTAATTAAATGAACAGCAATATAATTAGTAAAATAATCGACAAACTCCTCTTATCTCCTACAATCCTAATACTAAAACAAAATAAAATATGAAAGTCACTGAAAACTTTTTTATATAACAGAGCTTTTTTTTCTCAATATCTTACTCCCCCTTGATATATCCATCTCTTCATAATTTCAATTTAGATGGGAAAAAAGGAGAGCACATTATTGTAATGACATAATGCAACTATCCAACCATTATAAAATCTTTTAGTACTATTAAAATACTGTCCTAATAAAATAATAGTCCTATAAATCATTTATTTTATAAAATTATAAGGGATTTTACAGTTCAAACTAGTACAGTACGTGAGTAAGGGAGAAGAGTGACTAGATTCTAAAAACTAATGTGTTGTTTTTCTTGTTTATGAATATAATTTCCAGCCAGATGATAGAGATTTATAAAATACAATATGAAGCATCAAGATATTTTATCATTATAACTGATAATCATATTTAATATTTATTAAAGAACCGAACCACCAAAGCTTTGAAAATTTAACTAGAAATCAGCAATTACTATTAACAGCAATCACAAGTCAAATGCTCTAATAATCATTGCATATTAGAAGTAAATGAATCAATAGATCAAATATAATTCTAAGATCTAAGAATAATCATCTTATCTCAGAAGAATTTTTATCAAAAAGCTACTCAAAACAATTAAAGAACAAGATTAAGTTCTTGTTATCCACACAAAAAATTACAAATCTCAAAAAAGTGTATCACTTTATTCCATACAATTTTATTTGGTAAATAAGCAAGGTTTGTTGAAAAATAGCAGTAGGGCGGCTAATCTTCTTACATTTATTGGTCTAAAATTGCTATTTTGTTTATTTCAATTCATCTAAATCTTAACCATCGATACGATGAGACAATAAAAATATGACCAATTAAAAAAAAAAAATCAAATAACACAAACCCATCAGGAATCTGCACTTTACGTTGAGCTTTTGGTGCTACAGGGTTCATTTCTCCAGCAAATAAAATACTAACAGCTTGTACAATTGACTCATCTCCATTATTTGAACTTAGTTTTTCTTCGACTAGCTTTACAAGCTCTAGTGCCGAACATGCTCTTTCTTGCACTTCAAGATCTCCAGATCCAACAAATAGAGGAAGTTTCTCCATCACCAGTCTGCAGGTCTAGAACAATTCAAAATTTTGTATTCTGATTAAAATACAACCCCAATATTACAATGTACAAATTATTATACACATATTATTCTAACTATACAATTAATTCAAAACAGTTCAGGTGTAATAAGTTCAGAGATATCTGTTTTTCGTTGCTTAATTATTAAAACAGAGGGATATGTTTCAGTCGAACAAGCTAATTACGTAATAAGTAAATTGTTATTGTTAAACAGGTGTGGTAAAATATGAAGTTCACAATTGTATATGTTTGTATTGTATATATATATAATTCTTAAAACTTAACTTAAAAATTGTTATACCTTAATAGCTTCCTCAGTTTCTGATACTTCTAAAATCTTGGAGAAAACTTTCAGAATATTATGAACATAAATTGCTTGAATGTGAGGTGGAAGACAATTAATACGACCATTCAATAAAGCTTCTAAAGTTGACTTTGTATTAGGTAGTTCACTAAAAATAATAAAGTCATTTAAATTATGTAATAGCTTTGCTTAAGTTTAAATGTTAATGTATTTAAAACATTGCAATGTTTTATAAATGAATATGTAATTACCAAAATTAAGCACTAGTTTACTTATGGCATCCTGATAAACAAACCACTTAACAATTAAATAAATAAAAACAATAATTTCCTGTTTATTGTGTGGAATGGTTTACGTGAACTTTTTTGTATCCCATGATGTCTAGTATCGCCTCTTAAGGGATAATTTCTTGTCACTTGTAAAAATACATGAATAATTTCGTTTTTTCTAAAAGGACCTATATCCATAATCATAAACAGTACCTTTGATGGATATAAAAGCCAAACCATAATTATCCTCATCCACACTATAAGTTGGGCGTAAGGAATTGGCGGCCCCATCGCCCGCTCTAGTGCTGCAGTCAGCCACTAGCTTTCCAGGTTGGGACAACAGTACACTACACTCATCACTACACTCTACAGACAAAGGTCATTAACAGTACACACCCTATGGTCACCTACCCTAGGATGGAGATGTAGATCTGCAGGCACAAAGGTGGCAGCCCCACTAGCAGACTTGGGTAAGCAGTGAGGGTCAATAGCTTCAACACCCAAAACTGAATTATCTTGAAACGTCACACAAAAGTATAAGTTATAAACAGATCAAAAGGTAATAGACCCGGTATTTCTAAAAGGATTTTCAATCTCAGATATTGGAACGTACATTCACTATACCTTACCAGAGCACTTAAGCTACCGGCGCCTTTAGGCGACTTGTGGTTGGATTTAAAGGCATTAGTCAGTGAATATGTCTCATCCCTATAAGAGGAAAATTCTATAAGTATAAGTTCTTAGTGTTCATACCTCCACGAAAGTAGCTAGTGAAGATGAGAAAGACCTGTTTTATGATCTCCTTGAAAGGACCTTTGATGCATGCCCTGCATATGATAGGGAATGAATATCTACACTCCAACTGTTGGCAAGCATAGTCTTCATGAAGCTAGAAATGATAACAGAACTCAACTGATAAACTTTGCAGTATCCAGAGATCTTGTTGAGGGTGGCACTCTATTCCTCACAAAGACATCGATAAAGATGCATGGATCACACCTGATAGATCGGTTGTTAATAAAATCAATCATGTATTCATGGGAGGCGACATAAATCCAATCTACTCAATACAAGGACATTCCGAGAAGCTAATGTCAACTCTGACCATTACCACTCAAGACCACACCTTATAACCAAGACCTCCATGCCCAGACTGGGCTTTAGGAGTAGAAAGTATAAAAGGTTTAACTTGGAGAAGCTCCAAGACCCAATGGTAATGAACCAGTAGTATACAGTCAAGCTTGACAAGGCATTACAATTAACACACCATGAACGGAGATTGGTAGATGAGTGGCAGGTCTGCTCTAAAGCCTAGGATGAAAGGTTGATGCAATTCTCAGACCAGTCCAAAAGGAATGCCGTTGCCCGTGGTTTGATGACAAATGCGCAAATACAACTCACTGAAAGAATGTGACATATCATGACATATAAGAATGTCACATGAGAGGGATGAGAGGTAATATTAAGGAGTACAGGAGACTTCGTCAAGAGGAGAAGAAACTTCATTGTGGGGAGAAGAGGCAGAAAGAGCTTAAGAGTTGCAGAAAACTGAAGCCTTGCAAGGAAGCAAAGAGTTAAGAGAGTTCTTCTGCAGAATAAATAAGCTCAGAAAGCCTTTAACTGGGACCCAAACCTCTTGCCTGGATAAAGAAGGCAATCTGATACTGATACTGATACCGATAGGTCAGAACTCCTAGCAGAATGGAGGAGACATTTTGTAGACCTCACGACTGACCCAGATGTCAACCCTGAGTACGTTAACAGACCCCTATCTGGTGTGGAAGATATGGAATCCAAGTTAGGAACGCCCAATGAGGAGGAGATTGAGGAAGGTGTGAATAGGCTAAAGAACCACAAGGCTCAAGCAGGCTTATTTGGAGCAGGTGGATTTGAACTCAGAAAGTTCTCCAGCAATTCCGAAAAAGTACTTTCTGTTATACCCGAGGGTAGTCAAGAAGTTCCGATATGCCTGGATGGAGATTCCTCGACTCTCAAGGTTTTGGGATCCTAAACTCAATCATTTCATGTATTCAATACAAGAAAGTGAGCATATTTTTATAAAGCAAGATATTCTATCCTTCATTGCCAAAATTATCGATATAAATGGATATATCAGTCCGGTAATCTTTTCTGTTAAATATATATTATAACGTTTGTGACTGCTTAAGATTTCTTGAAGAATTTCCGAGCTTGAAAAATGTTTGCCTGCATCATCGTCAGCCAGAATGCATCATCCATGCAGCTGATCGCCTTTTCAGACGCTTCCGAGAAAGGTTACGAGTGTGTGATCTACCTGAGAGTTGGATGCCTAGGAGAAGCTACCAAAATTCATTTGTTAAGGGCAAAAAGTATGATGGACCCACTTAATGTTCAATCAATGCCTCATTTGGAATTAAACAATGCTCTCCTTGCCTCCAGACTATTCGCGTGTAATGGTAAATTTAAAAGTCGTTAGCGAATTAATGAAGAATATTGTTTTTCGGATTCTTGTAGCATACTCTATTGGTTACAGACACCGCATCATGAAACTTAAGATGAATATTGCCAATCGCATAGTACAGATTTTAGAAGTAACAGAACGCAGTTGTTGGCACTATATTCCTACAAAACAGAATCCAGCCGATCGTTTATCGAGAGACCTCTCACCACACCAGATAATTTCACATGAGCTTTATTGGAACACCTTGACATTTATTTTGTTACCTCCTTATGACTGGCCTATTTACCATATTGAACTTCTATCCATTCTGCCTGAAGAAAAAACAATATCTCTGTTAGCGGCTGAAAAACCTAATAATTTATTGATTTACCTGGAAAAATACTTAAGCCTTTTAAAGCTGCAAAGGGTTTTTGCTTTTATTTTAAAATTTATTAATAGACACCTTCTTAGTGTTCTCCAGGATTATGCATTAAAATATGAGGAATTTTATACACTTCTGGTACAAGTTAAAGCTGTTCTCAATTTCCATCCTATATGTAATATTAGCAGTCAGTCTTCGGACAACCTTGATTACCTCACCCCAGGACAATTGACAGGTGACCGAAAGTCGTTCCTTTCAGCAAGTTGGAATAGACTATAGTGGCCCCTTCATTATGAAGATTTCCAGTAAGCTCAATGCTCCAAAGTCGAAATGTTGGTTAGCTCTCTTTGTGGGCACGTCCACCAAGGCCATCCATCTAGAACTTGTGACGGACCAATCCACTCCTTCATTTATTGCCACATTAGATAGATTTATTGCCAGATGTGGTTTGCCTTCTCATATTTATAATTACTGACTGTGAACAATTTTCATAGGAGCATCCAAGAAGTTGAAGGAGTTTCATCAATTTGTTAAGGGTCCGAGCGAACCCATTTCTGACTATTTGGGTAAGACGGGTATAAAGTGGACCTTTACTCCTCCAGCGCCTCCTCAATTCGGTGGTATTTGGGAGGCAGCTATTAAATCTGCTAAGAGACACCTTCTTGCCGTTCTTCAGGATTATGCGTTAAAATATGAGGAATTTTATACACTTCTGGTACAAGTTAAAGCTGTTCTCAATTCCCGTCCTATCTGTAATATTAGCAGTCAGTCTTGGAACAACCTTGATTACCTCACCCCCGGAAAATTTCTTATGGGTCAATCCGTCCTAACCAGACTAGAACAAGAAGTCGCGCCAGTGTTGCCTTTGACAAGCCATTGGTATATGATTTCCAAGACTCTTCATAATTTTTGAAAGAGATGGTATAAGGAGTATCTCCACAATCTGGTGCCTCGAAACAAGTGATATACTGACAGGGAAAATATAAAAGAGGGAACCCTTGTTATTCTACATGAAAAAGATGTTCCATTGCAGGAGTCGCGGCTTGCCAGGATAATAGAGACACTTCCAGGGCCTGACGGCATAGTTAGGGTTGTAAAATTAAGGACTGCTATAGCCACTTTGGTGTGACTGATGCACAAGTTAGTGCCTCTCTCTTCTGGAGAAACCTTTTATTGATATGTATATTTTTTTCTTTGTGTAAATTTAATAAGGAGCCATTTTATTTTAAATTTATCAGATAATTGTAATTTATTAGCCTATCTTTGATCTGGCTCACTGTATTTCTAATATATTTTGAATTATTTCTCTCTTTTTTTATTGTAAAACCAAGCAATTTTCCACTTGTTTGTTGCCTGGTAATTACCAATCTATGAGTTTGATTTATCTTTTTTTTATTTGTGAAATGATATATGTTCTGTGTGAAAGCTATTATACCCGATTGTCGCGTTGCGGCGAATAGTGAAAACAGATCAGATAAAATTTAATCTGTGGCAGCTACCAGATGCACTCGGCCCATTCCAAAGCAGAGATTCCCAGAGGCATCAACTATAGGAGACTGGAGAGCCCTCTCAGTTAAGTAAGATATCTATGCCACCATAAAAGAGTGAGTTTATTTTACATAATTCATATAACCTACCACTTCATCAAAACATAGTCCACTGTCAAAATAAGTCGCATGTTGCCTATGTTAAACTCATTAGAGTTATTTGCCTTTGCTTTAGTTAAATTTGGAAAGTTACCCAAACATTCACAATTAAAGAAATGCCACTTAGCAACTTAATGAAAATAGTAAAAATTTGAGTTGCTGAAACGCAATTAACAGCAAGCCTGTTACAGGCCAACTATCAATGGCTTAGGTCATGAACTCATTAAAAAATATATATATTTTAAACTTAAAAAGGTCTTTCAAGCATTCTCCTTAAACTCAAGAGTTTTTGTTACCTAACTGCATGTTGTAAAGCTATTGAAAACCTATGGAGCACACTTTAATCAATCAATAGACTATTTTATTAATATTACTTATTACCTAGCGAATTCTCCACATATCCATGCTGCAGCATACAATACATCAGCCATCTTAGCAGGAGGTTGAGCTAACAAATGACTGTTCTCTAACAGAAGTGCCATCTGGCTGACAGTAAAAGCTCTTACAGCTTGAACTCTTACAGCCACATCTACCATTTGAGCAGCTACTAATTTACCATGCTGTGTTCCCTCCATTCGAGTCAGCTCTACAAGAACACTTACATACCTAAAAAATCGTTAATGGTGAAATAGTTGAAAGTAATAGTTGAATAGGTGAAAGTAATAGTAATAATAGGTGAAATAATAGTAGGTGAAGTAATAGTAATAATAATAATAGTAGGTGAAGTAATAGTAATAATAGGTAATAGTAATAATAGGTGAAAGTAATAGTAATAGGTGAAATAGTTGATAAGTAATATATGTAATTATAATTATGATTAGTAAAGTGTTAACTACATGTTTACCATTCAAAGTTTGTGATATACTGATAATTATTCTGGGAACAAATATCAATGATTTTGGAAAGCAATTCATCCCGATAGGTTGTTCCTTCAGCTTTATCCATGTGAATCATCAATTTTTTAACAATTTCCATAAGAGTTTTTTTTGAAACCTAAAATTTAAATTATTACATTACACACTGCTAACCTTTATCGCGTAATAAAAATTCAATAATTTTTAAACTGAGAGATAAAAATATAAACTTTAGATCAAATAATAATTACTGACCATGCCATAAAGTAGATCGAGAGCTCTGAGTCTTATAGATTCATCTTTATCATCAAGACACTGCATCACAAGATCTTTGTGTGACTGTACAGACTTTGGATGAGTCTTAAGGATCTTAGACATAGCCAATAAGCCAAGATATTTTACTAAAAATGTTAATAATTACATGAAAATTAATTAGTATATTTTAATTATTTTTATATACATAAAAAAAGTAAAAACAAAAAATAATAATATATACTTTTCCTCAATAATACTTTATCTTAACATCTCCACCCTATACTTTATATATATTATTATAGTACAATGTGTTTGAAGGGAGTTTGATTTCAAAATAAATATAGTTAATAAATAAAGGCTGTGAGATAAAAAAAATTAATTTGTTTTTTATTCATATTAATTTCGCAATTAAAATGCAAATATTTTGTTTAAAGTGCAATACTATTTTATTATGTGTAATAGCAGCAGAAGTGATAAATTCTTGAGCAGTATCATCAATTATTCAAATTATTACTTTTCATTCAGACATATTAACAGTTATTAATTTAAATTGTAAAAGGTAGTACGAATAAATAGTATTTGTGGGATAAATTTTATTTTTCCTATTTGTTTAATATATTGTATATGATTTTAATTTAAATTACACTCTCCTTTTTAGGTAATTTCGTGACTCAAACTTAAATTATCCGATAGAAGTCTACATAAAGGCCTATAGATACAAAGGCATTTACATAATTATAAAGACAGACACGGTAGGATATAACAATAAATCTATGGTCTCTGGCCAAAACTAATCAAGTCCAAAAATGGTTCTCAAAAGTTCTGTAAATTTAGTTCTTTCAAACCTTCGAAACATTGCGAAGAAGCTACTAAATCCACAATTCCCATCTGGATCACTAAAATTTTTAATACTGTGAGTTACCAAATTTTACAGAATTTTTAGAATGCTTGAAAGATTATCTCAATTTACAGAACTTGTGATGATCATTTTTCGACTTGACTAGTTATGGCTAGAGATCATAGATATATATACATATGAGGTGTCATGTTTATAACTTAATTTATAGATTAATAGAAATTAAAGGTCAGCTTTGAAAAATCAGAAAAAGTAATTGAATTATATCTAACACAGAGCCTTTGAAAAACTAGGTACAAATTTGTTTTCTAATTCTTCAAAACTGATTTTTAATTTTTATTAATCTATTTAGTTGTCTGGAAAATAATGCAAGATTTGATTAAAAAAGAAAAAAGAAAGATTAACAGCTGTTTTGTTTGATCAAAATAGTCTCCACCACTATCAATATATTTCTGCCAACAGGCAAAGAAGTGTAGCTAAAACTTCATACGCTGGTTTTTTCGGCTGTCATTTAATGTATGTGGAAACTAATTTTCAATGTTTTTTATCTTTCCATTATTGTTTTGAGGAGGTCACCGGCAGTCGATTTACTAAGGTTAAGTTTCTCTGCAAGTTTTCGAACAATTATTTTGTGGTTTTCTTCCATCAAAGCCCGCAGAACATCGTCACCAAGAGAGGAAGTCCTTCCACGACCCTCTTTGTCTTCAAGGCTGAAGTCTCCTCTCGATATCTTTTGAACCACCGTTGAACAGTGCACTCATCAATACTGCTTTCAGCTCAGACTTGATTGATGTTTCTGATCAGCTGGGCCCCATTCCAGCTGAGTTTAAACTTGTAAAACAAAATCATACGAAAATCACGCATTAACATCTTAGTAAAGACTGAATTATTTCTAAGCAGCAAAATGCTATAAAGGTAAACAAACATTATCGTTTGGAACAGGATTAATAAGTGTTAACATTCATAAAAATGAATAATCCAGTAAACGTAAACAGTTTGTTATATAAAAGGGTAATTTAAAGAAAACTCAAAATCCTGCATTATTTTCCGGACAACCCAATATAAATTAAGTTATAAACATGATACCTCTTATGTATATATATCTATGGTCTCTGTCCAAAACTAGTTTAGTCGAAAAATTTGTTCCGTGAACTGTTCCGCTCGCAATGGTCCATCTCCAGCCCCACAATTTTGCCTCCAGGCTGCTTAAGATATTTATCTATTGATTAGACTTCAGTATTACAAATAACTAAAAAACTTATTTTTTAACAAATAAAATAAATCAAAAAATTAAATTATAATGTTATAATAGAAGTCTCACTAACAATTTTGATCTGAGTCTTCAATCAGTATCCTCAATTTTTGTACACAAAGCTAGAACAAAGGTAAGAAATTATTAAATAAATATAAAATTAAAGACATACACTGATTGTGGCAATATTAAATAGTTAGACCTACTTGAATAGAGGCACTGTGGTTAGGCATCCCTGACGAAATAGAGATGAGAACTACACCATAAAATCAAATGTATAAATTAATGTTTATAGAATAAAACTGATACTAAAAAATTAATAATTTAAAAAAAATTACCTGCAATAACAGTATTAATACATTCATACAGAAGAGACATCGCAGAAGTGCTAAACAAGTAAGAAAAGAGAATTTATATACTTAACAGAATATTTAGATAATAATTTTCAAGCTTACACAAACAAAAATTAAAGCTATTATTAACTTTCTAATTTTGGCTAAGTTTTTAGTAACAAGCTAAAAGCTTTATAAACTCAAAAGCGTGATAATTATTACTTACTTATTAAATTAAAAAAACTTTATATTATATCATTTTAATAATTTTTATGTAATAGTATTTTAACAAAAACCATTGTTAAGCGTGTCTTTGATTGAATTAAAATGCCTGAGCGTGCACTGAAATAAAATTATAGCCAACAATGATCATGTTGCATATGAGCAGAAGCAATATTCAGATCTACAGTCTAATTAAAATAAAAAATAAATAAATAAATTAAATTACTACAGAAGCTTGGTGGTGCTCTCCATCGGCCTTTTGATTTGTGCTGAGAATGACTTTATTCCCACTGTATTACCATTATTTTTACTGTTGTATAAATAGAAATAAATGAAGAAGTAAAGACTGCTGATGAATAAGATCAGTGCTCTTCGCAACTATAATTTTTAGATTATTCAAAGAACACCCTTAACGAATATTAAACTTACCCTTAACATTAATACTTAAATTACTTGTGTAAGTTATTTTTTTTATGTTTAGCTATATGGGATGTAAAATTAAAAACGTAATGGATCTACTGAAAATTTCTGTCTTATGATCAATTTCAAATTATTGATGCTAGATTAAATGATCAATAACAATATTTTGTCCATATCAAAAGAATTATTTATATTATGACACTGGTTCTCATGTTGATGCTGATTTAAGAATCAGTATAACAAGAAAGAATGTGATTAACTAATATGAAAATATGATCAGACTCCCACAAATAAATATATCTTTTATTATTAAAGAAATTTGGTCGACTCTTCTACATATCAGGAGTGACAGATAGTCAGGACACAGTCAGTTGTTAAGATTTTTGTTGCAACTCTCCCCTCAAAATTTTACTTATGGATAATAAACAAATGTTTATCTTTAATTAAAGCAATAAAATAAAATCACAAGATTTTTGTTTAAAAAGTTAGGATAATTCTAAGATTACAGGTCATTGTCATGTCCCTAAAGAAAACATGCTTTCTGAAGGCTTCATTTTTTAGCTTTAGCCATTATTATTTGCAAAAAAAACTTATTCTTGTTGTATTTGAAAAGAAGTTGGTCAATAATTGATATTATTTAAGATATTATATAACATTTATAGTCTATTTCCTGGTCTCTGGTTTATATCTCATGAACACTCAATGAAAAATATAAAATATGAAAATAAAATTAGTTTTTTATTGAAAAGTCCCATAATCTCATTAATCTTTAGTTATTTATTAAGTTAATTAATTAAAATAATACAAAAATTAACAAATAAATAAAAACAATAAGCAGCCTATCATAAAAATCTCATTATATAGCAGACAGAACTTTCAGTAAGACCGATTATGAAAGATGTTAGAATTTATTGGGACAGATTACCTGTGTATGAGGTTGGTGAGGGGCTCAATGAGTTTCTTACCAAGGCGAGGCTCGAGGGGAGTCAACGCACCAAACTGAAAATACAAATCCTCTCAGCCAATAGCTAAAGAAAATCATTACAACTACACTAACCCACGTTTCACAGCTACCAAACTATGCTCTAACTCCGAACAACACCTACATAATATACATTGGGTACAGATTTTTTACACAAGAATATGTGTGTGTTTATATATGTATATAATTTGTACTCATTACAAATGTTAAAAAAAAAAAAACAACTTACAGTTGTTCTGTTTTTTACATAGAATTTATATTTAAAATCGTTTTTATTTTTGTACTTGAGCAAATTACTATATATTATATTATTATGTACTATACAAATTAATATGTCCAAGCATAATATATATATAAATTCAATGTAAGAAACCAAAACTTTTTTGTTGTTCTTTTTAACATTCTAATTAAACTTGACCATAGATTATAGATATATATAAAATTGATTAATCTGAAAATCTATTATTTTCATTTAAAAAGTAAAACTCCTTGTTGGTAGGATGTTTTCTAGTCCTATAAATCATAGTTTTCTCCCACAAGCTTTTGTTTTAAACTTCATGATCTCATTAAAATAAAAAATAAAAAATTTGATGTTCAAGTTAATAATAAATAACTTATCAGCAAATTATTCAAATAACGAAAAATAATTTTATTGTTGAGGACAATTCAGTATAAGAAGAATATACCACATTAGAATTATTTGACTCAAGAGTTCCAAATAAAGCAGAAAAAAAAATTTATAATGTGCCACACTTGAACCTGGGTTCATTAAGAATTGTGATCTTACCCATTGAAACACACCACTCTAAAGCTGTAAAAAATAATTTAGAAAAATAAAATACATATAACTTCAAATCACTGACTTAGAACTGAAAGAAACTGAATATCAAGTTATATAAAATTAATATTTGTATTAAATAACATAGAGATAACCACAAAAAATTAAATCAATATTGCTAGATTTTAAATTCACAAGCGCTAGAGAGGAACTCATTCGATGGCACTTAAAAGCAGGGTTTGAAATTGATAATTATTTTTTCCACAAAATCGTGCAATAATGATTATATTTGATTTTTAATTTAAAAATCATGCCTGATTTATAAATAAGAATTTAAATCGATCTTTGATGTTTATTGATTCGATTAAAAATAATTATCACTGAGTGATATTGTTTCACATAAATAATAATGATTAAATTATTTAATGATTAAATATATAAATAGTTGACCGTTGCATTATAAAGGAAGGAGATGGTACAGAGTGGCGGTCATAAATAGGTTGAATAGTGGCAAAACTATTTTATTAAAAGCCAACGTTTCGACCTGACTTTTCAGGTCTTCTTCAGGGAGGTGTGTTCAGCTAGGAGTTTCACTTAGAACTCAAGTTCACTTCAGTTCTAAGTGAAACTCCTAGCTAAACACATCTCCCTGAAGAAGATCTACAAAGTCGGGTCGAAACGTTGGCTTTTAATAAAATGGTTTTTCCACTATTTAGCCTATATATGACCGCCAGCCCAAATCCGATTAAATATATAGTTAAAATATCATATGAAAGGAATCACTGAGTATTTTTTTTTCATTCCTAACTAGAGTAAAATAAATTATTAAACAGTTGATAACTGTAACTGAACATAAGTTTTTTAATCCAGAAACAACATTAAATTTTTGAAAAAACGATAAATAATTTCCTTCCTTTATTTTTTTCTGCCATTGAAAAATTTAGCACAGAGAATTTCTATTAAATTTAAATTCAATTAAAATTGGAAAATCAAGAATTCTTACAAACAAATTTATTTGCCTACAATTCATTTATTGCAAGACCAAATAGCAGTGAAGTATAATTACAGATATCATACACCTTACAAATAATATAACTGTAACTAGAAGATATTTACTGGCCATCATCTGTTTACAAGTTGGAGAATGAAAACACAACACTGAATTAAATCTGAGAATATATGTTACACAAAAGCTGCATAATCTACCTTTCTTCAATTTTTTAAAGAACTTGTAACTTATTATAATATAAGCTAATTCCTATGAATTCAAAACTTCTTATCTATTCTGAAATAATAAAGACCTACTGTTTTGATAATAATGAATTAAGTGGATAATACTATTAAGAGTAACTCTTACACTATACATTTTTATACAGGAAAAATTCAACAAATTTAACTATATACAAGGGACATATAGGCTAGCAGGTAATGAACAAAGTTAGAGCACTGTAAAGGAAAAGTAGCAGTGATGTTTACATATACTGTTACCTTGAAATGAGCTCAATGAGAGGATGAGTGAGCTTTCGCCCGATCCTTGGTTCAATCATTGTGAGGGCACCAAACTGTAACATAACCCCACCCCAAGGAGGACACGCCACACACAAACTTTTGATTAGCATCATATCATCATTTAATTTTAGGAATTATGCTGTAATTTTAATGAGTAAATTTTACAGAAAAAAATAATGGTTAAATAAAAGTATTCAGCCAATTGGTCTTGAAAATCATTCATTAGTCAGCTGAAAATGTTCTTCATTTAAGGCTAAAATATGTTCTTGGTTAAAACAAAAATATAGATCCATAAGTTTAGAATTGAATACATCAAATAAATGGCTTTTGCAGAGAAAACTAAAATAATCATAATAGAAATATTCTATTCGGATAGTTTGATTTATAACGTATTAATATGATAAATAGGAGATAAGCATTTTATTTTAAATAGTAATTCAGATAGATAGAATAGAATTTAGATAGATAATATAGAAGAAAATCTATATTTTTTCGAAGAATAATTATCCATCAATTTTATAGAATTTTAAGACGTTCCTTAAGCTCTGACCTAACAATTTTCTTTTCAGAAGCAAATTCTTACATGTTAACCAATATAAGGTGTCCATGTACAATTGACCTAATTATTATTCAAAGATGTTCCAGACACATTTCAGAGAATGAAATATAAATTAACTAATAGTTCAACTTGATTCTTCAATTTTTTGTCTCTTAAATTAAAAAATAATTTATTTATTTATAATAAAAATGAAAATATTATTGTTGACAGAACCATTACAATAAATAAAATAAGTAAGGATGACCTCCAATAAATAACTTGAAACAGAAATATTAATAAACAACTTTTTTGATCAGACTGATTACATAACTATTGAGGGCAAGAATCTTTCTCCTTTGCTACATAACATCATTGGTGATATATCCATAACTAAGTAATAATTTTTAATACACAGCAATTACACAAAAATCAAAAACAATAAGGAATTATTACATATAATCAATAATAAAAAATGAGAAGTATAGTCTCAAAAAGAATAACAATCAACATAACACAATCACAAATTCATTTCGCCCAAATTAAATTTCTCTGCACTAAATACCGAAATCATTTTCATGCTAATTATAAATGTAATGAATTTTATAAACAAAATGATTAACCAAAATTTTCAACCATACTTAAATTTTACTTTCAGACATACAAGAGAAAATCACTAATTAATAATAAGGCAAATAAGATTCAATTTTAAACATAACTTACAAGTTTTATAATTTTAATTAGCATCCAATTATTTGTAGATGTAGTCATAAGTTTGAAAAAGACAGGAGCTAAGCTTAGATAATTCTTTGGATTTTTTCTAGCTAGTTCACAGACCACATTAACTGCAGCTGATTGAACTCCTGCAATGCACAAAAATGAATTAAAGTTCTAAAAGACAGTGATTAAATTACAAATAAAAATTTTTAAAAAACCATATGGGCAAAGAATTAACTCCAATATGTAATGATACTAAATTGGTAATCTAGCAGATTGGTAGAGAATACTGACTGACCTGAATCAGGATCTTCTAATTTCTCTTTCAATCGAGGGAAAGCAGGTCTTAAAGCCTCGGGGTATCTCAAAAATACTTTGTACATCATTAACACTGCTTTCTTCCGTAAGTAGGGTTTCGTAGATGTCAACTGGCAAAAATTAAACTTAATGAATGACAAACTTCACAAAAATGAAACCAATATAAGATATTCTATAAAAAAAATTATAATAATACAATCACATTAACTATTTACCAGTGTCATGATATCATTTGCTAAATCCCTAGCAAGATCAGTACTAATGAAGCACGAGAGAGCAGATAGTGCCAGACCTGCATCATACTGGTTTTGACTATTTAAATCCTTTCGTACCATATTGGTGGTCAGCATTAGCAACTTAAAATAACACAGTAAAATGAATTCACAATATAATTATATTAAAACATATTTCATAACTAAGAAAATCACCTCAGTATCAGCATGAAAACTTTGACTAGATGCTAGATATCCTATTCGTTTATATGTAAACTTTGAAGAGCTCATTACCTCAATAACATTGAAACCAGCCCAACTCATATCATAACCAAGCATTTGTAGCTAAATGACAGAAAATTAAAAAAATTATGTCTTGACATATACCTAATGATATATATATATATTTTTTTTTTTTTTTTTTTTGTTGATACATACATAGGTTAATTTAGCTATTGCTGTTGCCTTAACAGCCAGATTGTCCTGTCTTAATTCTTGCTTTATTTCATCAATACATTGGGCTATATACTTGGCCTAAGTGAGTTACATAAAAATATATCAGTTAATAGACAAAACTTTATACCATCAAGAAATAATAATTTTAAATATAAAAGATTTATCTTTCAGTAATAGGACTTAAAAATAAATCAAAGCAGAATAAATAACTTACTTCGTTGTCTTTATTGTTTCTTATTCCACGAACCAAATCAGTTAAATTTTTATCAAACATACGTTCCAAATTGCCCTTAACTTTCTTTAAAGCCATTTTTATATATTTTCAGAAATCATACAATAAATACAAAACACATTAAATATAAAACTTAATACAAATCCAACTTTCAACTCAGCAACATCTTCACATTCCGTGGACTCTGTCACACTGATATCGATTACAATTTAGTAATATATCGATTGTTATATTTACTCTTGAAATGTTCTATATTTTATCTCTTAGCATATCAAAAAATATTTATAAACATCAGTATAGTTCAGTCAAAAGGTGTCAGTTGCGAGTTTGCTTTCCCCAAAGTATACTTTGGACTTTGGACTACTTAGATATATAGTTAGAAGTATTTTGGACTATAGTCACGTTCCTTTATTTTTCTGAATTCGAATAATAGTGAATTACATATTATTCTAATTTCCTCAACTATAGTATTAAAAAATAGGATTGTGTAAAAAAAAAATATATCGTCTGTTAATTGCAAAAAAATCACTAAATAAATTTTTGATGGAGCTGGATTTTTAAGAACGTTTTAGTGAATTTAATCTTATTTGTCCTATACTTATAGAACCTTAGCATACATTCTATTAAGTGATTATCACCTTAGAACAGTCATAAGAGGGATTATTCATAAGCTTATTAAAATGAAGCTCACATGCCTTTCCATTACCTTCTAGAAAGATTAATTTCTTTGACAGCAATGTCTGGCCAAAATATATATCAGTATTGTCTTTGATGCATTCTTGTAGTTTGTGTAGACATTGTAAATATCACATTTAGCCTTACCATTATCATTTCTCGAAAAATCATTAATCCTATCGCTTGATTGAGATACATCAAACTAGCCTAAAACAAAAAACACGGTGGGTCTTTGCATTATATGGTTACCAGAATCTAGGTATAAAAGGAAGCAAGGTAATAATTGAGACGTATGTAAATAACCCAAACAAAGTAGTACGACTACATTTGCCAGAATGGAGATTCTAAAGTCATTTTCCATCTCTATCATAAAATCTACTTAATGGTAACGCAATATAGAATTTTCATAGTGCTTATGGACTTTATATTTAAACCACGATCATACTTGGTAAGCTGCTCCATTGCTAACCGAACATACGTTCTTCGGCCCACCAAGTTGATCCGAACTGCTTAACCTGCTCTGGTTTCTATTTTATATTCTTTATTACAAAGAGAAGGATAGACAGCTAAAGTGACAGTACATCATAAATCGGAGATTATGAAATTTATTATTTACTAAATAGAGGCCACCCCATCGCCCGGTCATTGTGCCGCAGTCAGCCATTGGTCCTCCAGTAGAGGAATGCCTCCACATGCACACACACACACACACACACTCAGTGTGTTGTAGTGTGTAACAGCAGACTACAACATTCCTCATTGCAGAAAAAGGTCACATATAGTACACACCCTAGGCTCACCATCCCTAAGTAGCCGCCCAAGACGGTAGAGTGCGTTAGGGTACTCCAAGCAGGCAGCCACTCCACCTGATTCGGGGGCATTGGAATGATAACCTACTCCCCCATAAATCAACTTATCATGAAACCTCAAAAAGAAGCCGGACGATTCAATGATAACAGACATGGACACCATCAAATGTACTTCAAACTTGTATTTTGGAATATTTTATCACTGTACAGACCGTGAGGGCTTCAAAGCCTTCTTATATAAGTTGACAAATATAAATTAGACTTACTCGCTATCCAGGAGATCCGTTGGACCGCCGAAGTACTTATAGAGAAAATATATACTATATACAATAGGTGGGCCTATTGTATATAGTATATAGAAGACCTGCGACTTCTAGACCGCATGTGGCCTCCGAAGGCAGTTGCGACCTCAAAACGTTTTTGCCCGATATCTTTTATTCTAGTGCTGGAATTAATCAATATTTAATTTACACAAATTTGGAAATTAATAGAATTTAGTTGAATATTTTTATATGTGTGTGTGTATTTAGTGATAAATATAAATAGCGACAATAAAATGTAAACAATTGTCGAGACCTTCATTAGCAGTGCCCAACACTAATGATAAAAAGGTTCCTCACCTATGTTATAGATTATAGATGCCGGGATAGAAATCCCACGTTCGGAGTTAGATTTATTGTCAGGGGACGGATGAGAGAGCGAGTCTTCGCCTTCTATCCCTTCGCTGAACGTTCATGTGTGATTCGAATCGAAGGGACTTTATACAACTTTGGTTTCATAAGTTGTCACGCACCCACAGAGGTATCAGGTAAGGATGAGGACGAATTTTACGATGAATTGGAAAGAGCATTTGATGCATGCCCTAGAAGTGACATCAAGATCTTGCTGAGAGACTGAAATGCCAAGATAGGAAGAAAAGAAGCTTTTAGGCCTACCATTGGACATCACTTCCTACCTGAAGACAGCAACGATAACGAGAAAAGGATAACTGATTTAGCCATATCAAGAAATATGGTTTTATGAAGCACTCTCTTTATTCGCGGAATTCACTAGGACACTTGGAGATCCCCAAATGGCCTCACTTTTAATCAAATGGACCACATCCTGATAAATGCACGTCCCATTATAAATCTAATCTTGTTAGCACCAGAACTTTCAAAGGGGCTAATGCAGACTCAGGATTTCAACCATCGGAATTGGTTACTCCGGAACCAAAGAAATGTTCTTTCTAAGTTATGGAATATTGGTAAGTTGAATACTCTGACATTTTTAAACCATGCCAAGAAAGGACAGATGAGAAAGTGAGAGAGGCTACTGAAAGTATTCAGGACTTTTAAGACGGCCTAGAGCAGGCCCTGGGAAGTTCAGCTGATGAAGTCCTGAGTAAATTAGGACCAAGAAGTTCACGTGGTTTGACGAGGAATGTAATACACTGAATGGCCCTAAAAGTGAAGCGTACCGGAGTATGGTCAGCAAGTACTTCACAAGGAGAGAGGAGTACAGGGAAAGAAGGCGATTGGAGAAGAGAACCCTGAAGAAGAAGAAAAGAGCTTGGGAGGATAGTGAGCTCGGGCAAATAGAGGTTCTAAGAAATGCTAAAGAAAGTAGATGATTCCTTGCTCACCGATAAAGTCCGGATACAATCTGATTGCTCGACCAAATTCACTTAGATCGAAGGGTGGTGAAATGGGACTTCTGATCAATTTTAAATCAGAAAAAATTATAACAGACTTCGATTTGAAGAGCCTTGTGAAGCTACAAAAAAACTGTCCCTGATCAATGGCATAATAGATTGGGACAGGTACAAGAACCATTTGGACACTGCTCTCTCTGTTCCTCTATCCATTAAAAACGAAGAAGAACTTGAGGATGCCGTTGAATACTTCACACGAAATATTCAAAAAGCAGCATGGTCTTCATCAGTAGCAAAACCTCAAAAATATGAGTTGCTACCAATGTACCCACAATACATAAGGGACTTGATCAGAGCGAAGAGGAGAGCTCGCAAAATATGGCAGACTGACAGACTCCCATCAGATAAACGAACTTACAACAGACTTAATAATGAACTCAAGCGACGGATTGGAAAATTCAAACGAACAACCTATGACAACTACATCAGAAATCTCTCAACCGACGATGGAAGCTTGTAGAGACATACCAAAAACCTTATTAAGCATCGTGAAGTGTCAGCACCCCTTCGAAGAGAAGATGATTCCTGGGCCGTGACGGACGCAGAAAAATCAGAACTCTTTGCCGAATATCTTTCTTCTGTTTTTGTACCACACACAGACTTCACTAACACTGTGCACGATAACAATGTACTAAACACTTTAGACGTGTCCTTACAACTAACTTCACCTCCTATTTCATTCACACCTTCCCAGATTGCTGAACAAATCAAAAAGTTGCCTAAAAAAAAGCTCCTGGACATGACTTGATTAACGCTGAAGTGCCTCCAACAAATGCCTAGAAAAGCTCTAGTGCTTTTGACAACTATTTATAATGCAATACTGAGGACAACTAAATTTCCTATTCCAGTGGAAATACTCACATATAATATTGATTCACAAGCCTAACAAGGACAAAAACTCACCTTCCTCATACTGACCAATCAGCTTACTACCTATCTGTTCCAAAATTTTTGAAAGCTTACTGAACAAAAGACTTGTTGATATACTAACAAACACCCAAATAATACCTGACCATCAATTTGGATTTAGGGCACATCACTCAACTGTACACCAACTACATAGAGTAACGGACTACATATCTACAGCACTAGAGCAGAAAGTATATATTTTTTTTTTTTTTTTTTTTTTTGTTCTTCCCTACCTCGCCTTTTAGGCTATACGGGATTTTCCCGGGTCGGGGGGTGAGGGCGGGGAATTTAAAATCCCCTCCGGCACCGGGATGCGAACTCGTACTTTTTATATCATCTCAAATCTCTGTTATCCGGTTGCCAGGCAACTAGCAGTGCTGTGCACACGCTTTAGCCTATTCGTCTACCCCGCCCCCTAAAATTGGTAGGGTTGACCGTGAAGCACACGGCCTATGCCTGGATTTATGTATTCCATCCTTGTCAAGGGGAGTGCTAAACTTCTCTCTTTTTTTTTTTTTTTTTTTTTTTTTTTTAGCAGAAAGTATATGCAACTGGCGTATTTCTGGATGTTGCTCAAGCGTTTGACAGAGTTTGGCACCAGGGTCTTCTCTTTAAACTCAAGACAATACTCCCACCTACATATTATCTAATTTTACAATCCTTCCTTTTCGATAGATCTTTCTCGGTCCGACACGGGTCAGAGTTATCTTCCATCAGGAGTACCTCTAGGTTCAGTACTCGCTCCACTACTCTATATCACATACACCCATGACAAACCCTGCAGTCCCAACATTTTAACAGCGACATATGCAGACGACACAGCAATTTTAGCAAGACACAAAAATCCAATATACGCCTCACATACCCTACAACAGTATTTAACAAGATTACATGACTGGTTCAAAATTTGGAAAATCCGACTAAATCAAGACAAATCACAGCATATCACATTTACGCTTCGACATGAAACATGCCCTCCAGTTTTCCTTGACAACACACAGATTCCACAGACAGACACCGTTCACTACCTTGGTCTGACATTTGACAGAAAAATGACGTGGGGCCCACATATAATAAAGAAACGAAAAACGCTAAATCAAAGTTTAAGAATTCTGAGTTCACTTCTTTCGAAAAATTCAAAACTAAAACTTAGACAGAAATTGAACACGTACATTTACTTACTAAAACCTATTTGGACTTACGCATCACAGATATTTGGAACTGTTAAAAAGACTCACTTAAACAAACTTCAAATCATTCAAGCAAAAACATTCAGAACAATTACAAAAGCACCTTGGTACGTTAGCAACATAACTTTACACACTGACCTCCATATGCCGACTGTTAACGAACATATACGAACTCATTACAAACGATTCCATGACAACTTACAAGGACACCCTAATACACTTATAAATGACATGGCCACTACGAATATGCCAGGTAATGTCTGTAGGAGAGTGAAGAAGAGCTGGATGAGGGACCTCCTCGCCTAATGTAGATATCACGCCGAGTGAGGTGCCGCTGGGCACTGATCCTCCTCATGCCTTTCATGACATTATATTTTGCAATCGACCTCACATTTACTGGTTGTCATTACCATTATGACAGGTGTGAATAAAAAATTAAAGCTAAAAAAAAAAAAGACTTCGGAATCCAGACACGCGAGGCCCAGGGGTTCCCATTCCCCCAAGGCGCAAGAACCTCACTCCTCTCTCCTCCCACTTCCAAGATATTTTATTGCTCGTATTTTCTCAAAAACAGAGCAAGTGAAGGTAGATTTAGAAAAATTTTAGATCATACACAATTACACTTGCTGCGTCCTGTTTTATGTCTTCTCCTTGTCCCTTAAAATGAATCTTTTCATTCCAAAAATTCACAACCCTATGCAAATGTGCCCTTCTCAAAAATGCAAAAACCCTTCAAAACATGCCACCACAAAAACTTTGATGGTATAACTTGCGATGAAATAGCCCGCTGGGCATCCCTGGCGAGGCCCAATCTCTTCACGTATGGTACTTATATGTCAGGTACTTGGTTACGGCGATAACCAAGATAGAATTGCAAGGTCCCGCCCAGAGCAAGAAGCATTCCTTACACTTATGAAGGCAGCTTCAACCATTGCCCAAGTTGCGAATGAAGTCAAAACTAAGTATTTCTACACAAAGGATAAAGGAGATTTTGATACCTTAGATTCCACGTGGCAGCTTCGTATAGTATATCAGCGGAAATAATGAAAATATTGTTCGCTGCGAATCGGTGCTTCTTCCTTGAAGACCTTACGAATCAGACTTTTACTCTTTATAAGACTTTAATCCGACATATTCTCACCTATGGCTCACAGACATGAACTATTTCCAAAATTGACGAAAAGGACCTAATGATTTTTTAATTAAAAATCTTGAGTTGTATTATTATTGCCAATGGTAGAATGATTAGGAAGAACAGAGAGCTGTATCAAATCTATAAGGAAGTAAACGATCAGATTCATTAGCTTGAGAGACACAATTGAACTGGATACGTGGGCTAGAATGAGTAAAGAAGAAACACTGAGGAAGGTATCTGAATAGGTTCTTCGTAGGACCCGAAGAACAAGGTTAAGGTGGACAGACGGAGTGGCAGCAGACGCCAGAAACCTCCTAGAGACTATCAACTAGAAGGCGGCAGTACAGGACAGAACCGAATGGTGGAGGCTTACTTAAGAGGCCAAAACCCATTGGTTGTAGCGCCATACAGATAGATAGATTTACTAAATAACAGCTCTTTGGCGTGGAACAGTTGTTGAGCCAATTTGGAATCTTTTTAAATCTTTAATATCGATAGTTTTAAATTTTTGTTTTTATTTGTATCGTTACTTTTAGAGAACTGATAAATATGAATTACTCAAAAACTGGTTTCGACTATGATCCTATGAAATTTTTGAGATGTCACTCTAGAAATAATGATAGTGCTGATTCGCAAACCCAAGTAATGGTGTTGCATTTAAGAAATCATATTTTAGACATTACTAGTTGTAGAGAAATATATACATATAAAATGCTGAGCAAAATTAATGCATCACTTTACTTATGAAACAATTTCCATCCATCCATAGTTCTTAAAAGTAAATTGGAAGGCCATAAAGAGCAGAAGGTAAGTATAGATCAATTGGATTATGAATAATTCCTGGTTTATCTTTTTATCTCTGTGTTTTTATTAATATAGCTTCGAAGTTGAGGTCAGAAAATTTCCTCACTACCATTTTTCTTGGCTTCAATTGACTAATTATAGTTGGTTTTTTCTTTCATATAAGTATTTTTTGTAGACATTTCAATATCTCTGAATAACAATTCCATTAACATTCAGAGCTAGTTTAATTGTGCCTCAAGGCTCCATGCTCATCAAATTGTGACCATGATGTTTTAAAGATATAAGTTCACAAATTAGAAACTAAATTCTAAAGTAATTTATGGCAATTTGCTAGATATTGATTTCCTTTTGGGCCGTGAGGAGAATACTCTTTGAAGCTAATCCAAGTGTCAAAAATTCAATGTTTTCTCCTTTTCATCAGGAGTCACAAAAGAAACTGAATTTGTTCATAACACATCGGTCACAAGCAAAGGGTAAGTTAGGACTGGAAGTGAGTTGTTTTTTTTCACTGGAGATGTGAGAACAAGTCATTGGACATCACATGATTCTGTTTTAATTTTTAGATGCCCGAATGCTCAATGCAGTTCAACCCAACAAATTGTATTTCAAGGAGATTTAATATGTTCTAGGATGGTATTTCTTCTGATATTTGTAAAGAAATCAGTGGTTGTACAGAGAAAATACTTAAAAGCTCAGTGATACATTACGTATTATCATTTACCCCTACATTGTAATAAGGTTCCTGCTGAAGGATGACATTAACCCAGAGTATAACTCAGTACCTTTAACAGAATGGTTTTATATTCCTGGAATGATAACTGATAATTCTAGACCTCAATCCGATAAAACGAGTTTTGGTACTGTTCAGTTGCCGTGTATGAAACCAAAATTCCATTCCTAATACACTGGAAAAGTTTAAAACAGCTATTTTTGAAAAGTTTTGCTTTTTTTTTTTTTTAATTTAGAGGCCCACTGTAGTTGAACGAGTTAAGAAACCTTCAACATGTAGAGGCTTTCATTTAGATTTTCTTTGTGGGATTCTATAATGAAAGATAATAAAAAAAAATAATAATAATAAATTAATTAAAAATAAAATAAGTGTATACTAGTACTTAAACTATTCGTGCATGTGAACAGTAATCTCCCCACTCAGAGATTCACTGGGAGGTGAGCGACACCTGTGTCTTACACCATAGCTCCTTATCCTCCAGGTTTGGGGACAGGCTAATAACTATCCCATAAAAAACATCTATCTTATTACGAAACCAACAAAAGCTTTGAAAAATTGGTCTGTCTAGATATGGTAATAACTCCGGCTTTATGCAGATATTAGGAAACAAAGGGTAGAATATAAAGTAAAAGATATGCAAATGCTAGAAAAGGATGGCATCTAAAGAAAAGATATTGAGAATCTGGAAAGAAAATTGCCATCAACTTCTCAATGAAGGGGATCTCACGAATGAAGAAGACATGGACCACACTGAGGTTCTTGACCCAAAAGAAGTTTAAAAAAACAACATATATACTGGACATGGAAATAGCTATAGAAAAGTTTAAAACAAGGCCCCATGGATGGACAACCTACCATCAGAACTGTTTAAAGATGGAGAGAAAACGTAAGAGCCATGTCACATCAACTAATCCAGAAAATATGGAAGGAGGAAAGGATATCAGAGGCTTGGGATGCGGGTCTAATCTGCTCTATCCTAAAGAAAGGCCCTGTGTATGAGTGTAGTAACTACAGAGGCATATCAATCCTTCTGGTTGCCTAAAAGATAATGACCAATATCCTTATTATGAAAATATAATAGGCAACCACCTTGCTAGATTCAGAGAGGAAGCAGCATGCTGGACCAGATCTTAATCCTAAAACAAATACTCGAAAAATAATGGAAAGTAGCTATGGATGTCCATGCTTTATTTATCATTTTTAAAGTGGTCTTATGATTCCATGGACAGGAACTGTGTTTGAAAAATCATGATTGAACTGGGAGTTCCCAAGAAGTTGGTGAGATTGACTAAGGCGTGTACAAATGATGCTAAATGTTGAGTCTTAATACAAGAAGTATCTGGCACCTTTAAAGTTCAACCTGAATTACAGCAGGGAGATGGACTCTAACCGATGTTGTTCATCTTAGATCTGTAGATGATGATTAGAACAGCATCACATAAACATGGAGCAGTGTACATCAGAATGAGTCATAAAATCCGTGGATATGCAGACAATATAGATGTCCTTGGAGCCAAGCAAGAGAAAATTGAGAAATTCACTAAGACTGATAAGAAAAGCAGAGCTTATCAGCCTACAAGTAAATGAATATAATACAAAATCTCATGATATGAAGGCTTGGACATTTAGATGGATGTGCCATGTAACTCAGAGAAATCCATTTGGAAGCCAAAGATAGACAGACATGGGGACAACTGATTAAAGTGGCAAAATATCTACAAGGTCTGTAAGTAATACCAATGGAAAAAACAGGTTTTAATTTTTTATTAGATAAACTTTTCTTTAGACAATTCTATTTTTAATACTGATTCATTTACTAAAACTCTAAATCAATATAAAGTCCTGTAAATATTCTAAACATATAATTTTCAAGGTGATGCATTAATTTTGCTTATTATTAATTTTAAATAGGGTAATGTTACTATATATTTTATTGCAATGTTTTGTTCATCTTTATCAGTAAAAGGGCTATATTTGAATATTTTTTTTAGGTTTGGGATTGTGCCTTTGAACCATTGGATGGTGATTTTTTAGACTCATATATTGTTGCCACTTGCGGTGGTAACAGTGTTTGTTTTATTGATTGTGTTACTACAAAAGTGTTGTCTAAATATTACACCAAGGATCTGAGGTCGGTGATATGCCATTTTACTTTTACTGAAATAATATTGAAATGTGCCAATTTTTTTGTTTGTGATTTCAGTGTGCTTTTATTTACTTTAGCCTGGACTAAATTACCAGTTGGTGGTGAAAAGAAGTTGTTATTGGTTACCGGAGGTGCAAAAGGGACTCTCTATATTATTGATTATTCTGACAATGTTTGTATTTTGGAATACCAGTTGAAGTGCAAACGGAATGTTTTTATTAATACTTTATGTTTTCATCCAACTGATCATGGAATATTATTTTGTAAGCCATGTTTTATCTATACATTTTTTTCCTATAATTTTTAGGTGTCAATTGATTTTTTTTTCTTTCATTGCAAAATCCAGGTATATCCACTTCAATAAATTTTAATGTAAAATTGTATTGCAGACTATCACTCCATTTATCCATTATCGACATACTGTACATTTTTATTTCTTTAGGAAATATATTTTAATAATTTTTTGCTACTAACTTTAAACCACAATTAAATCTTTTCTAATCATTATCATACCTTTGTATGACAAAAACTGTATTTATTTTTTTCAACTAATCAGTCTTTACCTAAGAAAATTACCATAAAATAGTATAATATGTTTCAGATACAATATTTTTTTTTTTTTTTTTTTTTTATCTATTTATTGAATAATAATACAATCAGCCACTGGAGGGCTATAAGTATTAGGGCTAAGAGTTCTCATTCAAACAATATATACAAATAATAGAGAAATAAATATAAATATAAAAAGTAAATAAATAATACTGATGAAGAAAGAAAATAAAAGAAAAAAAAATAAACAATAACATAAAAAGAAACTTATAAACACAATCATACCTATATACAATATATACATTCGCCCAAGAATCTCCGAGCCAGGCTTTTTCCCCCACATGTGGAAGGCAAAGCAAGACTCCAGGAGATTCCAGTGCCACTTTTCCAGCCGCATCACTGGTATTAGAAGCCAATGGAGACTGAAAGAGGGCACTAGAGCCACAGACGCTCGGGACATGAGTGGAGAAGCTGGCCATTGCCAGGACTCCAGAAGCATATTTACAAGAGATCTCTGGGCCACTGCCGTTTTAACCTTCGTGGAGGATTGTAGGGATGAAGGGAGCTGGATAGGGATTGAGCTAGAGGATTTGGATGATGGATAAGGTTTTGGTGAAAGTTTGAGAATCTGGTTGGGATGATGTCGAGGACAAATGGGATGTTAAGGTCATGGTGTAGGGTCTTGTTTGTGACATAATATGGGGCATTGACTATTGTTCTAAGTACTTTGGACTGGAAGGATTGGATGCGTTTGATATTCGAATGTTTAGCAGTTGCCCACAGTTCAAGTCCGTAGGTCCAGATAGGTTTCAGTATGGTCTTGTAGATTAAAAGTTTATTTTCAATCGAAAGATGGGATGTCCTACTTAGTAATCTATACAGCTGGCCATATCGTCGGTTAAGTTCTTGTCTTTTAAGTCTGGTATGTGGGTTCCAAGTTAGTCTTTTGTCAAGAAGGAAGCCAAGGTAACGGACTGTGTCTGAGTAGGGAAGTGGAATTGAATTAAAAAGGATTGACGGACAGGATCTGCGTCGTAGGGTAAAAGTGATATGTTTGCATTTTGATTCATTGATTTTGATGCGCCAGTTGTTGCACCACTGCTCAATCAAAGAGAGGTGAGCTTGTAGGTTTAGAGATGCTATTTGAGGATCTGAGTGGGAAGATAGAATGGCAGTATCATCAGCAAATGTAGCTAGAAATGTATCGGGATTGGAAGGGATATCGGAAGTGAAGAGGATATAGAGAACTGGGCCCAAGACACTGCCTTGTGGAACACCAGCCTCAACTGGATAGTAAGTGGAGAATGCGGTGTCACAACGGACTTGAAAGGAACGATTTGAGAGGTAGGATTTGAGGACTAGGTATAAGGATTGGGGTAAATGGGTTTTGAGCTTGAAAAGCAAGCCATCGTGCCACACCCGGTCGAAAGCTTGTGCTACGTCCAGAAAGGCACCAGTGCAATAATGCTTGTTTTCAAGTGCAGAGGATATATGGTCCACAACACGAAGGCCTTGTTGGACAGTGGAATGTCTTGAGCGGAATCCAAACTGATGAGAAGGGATGTTGTGGGATTCGATTATGGGTAGGATGCGTTTGAGAAGGATTTTCTCAAAGATTTTTGAGAGGATCGGGAGTAAGCTTATCGGTCTATAGGATGATGTGTTATTAACAGGTTTACCTGGTTTTGGAAACAGGATGATTATGGAATAGATACAATATTATCTTTTATATTTTGTCTAATCTTCTTATTAGACAAAATATAATAAGAACAGACATGCAAAATGAAGAGAAAAATCTAATCATATTATTTGAATGTTGAGATTTTAGAAATTAATGTGTGTTCAACAGTCAGTTAATATCGTCACATACAGTGCCAGACCGAGACAAATTTAATGATGGAGTGAGATCCAATGTTGGTATCTCCCCTTGTTATAATAATAATAATAGTTTATTTTCAAAATAAAGTAATATAGAAACCTCTGAGAAGTTATGCATGATTTATTTATCGGCTGGAAAAAAAAACTAGTTAGAAAATCAAGCATTAAATTTTAATTTTCGATGTCTTAGGATGTGTCATAGGATACTAAAAATTAATCTAATTTGCTTTTTCATAACAATACTTTATTTGACCTGCTTTATTGGAAGTGTATTTTGTTTTTTGTAATTTATGATACATTATAACCCATTTAATAGGGAGTAGGGTAGCTCAGTGGTAGGGCACTGAGCTTCCAATGCAAGGGTTCCAGGTTCGAACCCCGGCTCATGGCAGAAAATTTATTTGTCTGTTTCATTGGCCATGGGGCGACCCTGGGTCGGGAGACCCTCCTGGGGCACACCCAGCCTCTATAAAGTGTGTACCCTTAATTAAATAATTGGTTAAGGGGGAAAACCTCCTTGCACAACCGTTGTCCTAGAAACAGTCCTTTCCCTAAATAGTAGTGAACCCCAGATCCTTCATGGGTTGTAGTGGTACAGTTCTTATTCTGCACAAAGTCCTCTCCTTGTGAGTCCCTTAGGACTTGGCATCTGGAGCGGCCGCTTAATGCCATATGGTAGTTTCGGTCCTGATCATACCTATTACAACATATTGGTTTGTTGCAAAAAGTCATTAAGTGATATTTCTTAAATAACTAAGAACTTTGATGAATTTTCTCTATGTGAAATCAACACATTGTACATTTGATGTATAAAAGAGTTTGTGTCATTTTAGTGTATTTACTATGTTGTTTTTTTAATTCAGAAACGACTCATTTGGTTAGGTCTGAATTCAATTCACATTTTATTTTCTTATACAAGTGCATACGCTTCAACTTAAATATTTAAATCACCATATCATGTATATTTTTTCTATACCAAATTTTATACAAATCGCTGATCTTCAAATATAGATAATTATGTATCCAATAGAAATGGTGAAAAAGTTACTCACCCTACTTGATAAACATTTTTCTACATTATTAACAAACTAAATTTCACATGTTAATAATATTTAATGTCAGATTTAATCAATTAAATATGGTAATGGTTATATGGTTTTTAAAATTCTACCATATAATAAAAGAAACTTTTGCAGGCTGTAGTTTGGGGACTGTCCTGCTTTAACGAGTTCATTATGTTTACTCCAGTAGGAGAGTAAACATTCTGAAAATCCTGATTTAAACAGTTTGTAAATTTTTGCTATTTGACAGTTTCTTTTGTATGAATTAGGAAAACTTTATCCGAATTTCTTCCTAAATTCTGAAACATGTTTTACTTTCAATTACTTTCAATATATAGTAAAGGTAAGTAATGCGATAGTGAAATTTTTCGAATCTGAGTTTTCAACGGGAATACATGTTTTAAGGTTCCCTGAGTCCAAATAACCAAGTCCTAACAAAATGGTCTGTTTGTATGTTTGAACAGCCTAACTCAAAAACGAAAAGTAAGAAACTGAAATTGCGTATTTAAGATTTTTATAAGCCTGAGGGTATTACAGCAATATTTTTATCAAAATAGGGAAACCGGAAGTTGTACTTTATATGATCGATTTAACACATTTTTACTTTTGATTTTGATTAAACTCAGTATTTCAGTATTATTAAGCAGTTTTAATATAATATAGGTTTTATTCTCATTGGTGTTCTCTAACAGGGTTTAAATGGCTAATTTTCAATCTTTAATTTTTTTTTATTTGAACTAATTAAGTATTTCACATTAATCTTTGATATAAATAATAGTTAAATATAAAATATGAAAGAATTTGATTATTATCCAAAGGAGAAATAAGATATCGTAATGAATAATAGTTGTAGTTGAGGAACCAGAGGAACAAAAGTGCGCCCGAGCTCACCTGAAAGATTAGAACAAACTTTCAGACGTAACATGAGCTTAATATAATACGGAATCTTTCAGGAGGAACTTCCCGGGGCCTGATAAAATATTTTTCGAATTCCTTAAATATTTAGGAACAAAAGCCAAGAATGTTACCCTCTCTTTCCTAAACCTAGTCTGGACACATCTACCAAACAAATGAAGAAAGGCAGAGGTAATACCAATATTAAAAAATGGTAAGAAACCTGACGAACCAGATATTTCTGGCCAATAGCACTGACAAGTTGTTTCTATAAGTTATTAGAAATGATGGTAATACACAGACTACTGACAGTCATGGATCAAAATGACATACTATATCCATTATTAGAAGACTTCAGGAAAAACAGGAGCACAGTCGAACAGATTGTTCATTTTTCACAAGAAATGAAAGACGACTATCATCGAAAACAAAGCTCCTTAGCTGTATTTGTTGATTTCAAAACAGCTTTTGACAGAGTCTGGAGGAAAAAACTTCTGCACAAGCTTATTGGAATGAGGATACATGGACATTTATACAGGTTTCTGGCCTCCTTCTCTTCCCAAAGATTAATTTTGGTCAGGTACAAAAATGGATTTTCAGAAGTTAAACCAACAAAGCGGGGACTTCCTCAGAGGTCAGTACTGAGTCCTTTTCTTTTGTGTTGGATGATCAACAATTTGACTAAATTTCCTTGGCTAAAAATGCTATTGTATGCTGATGACTTAGTTCTATGGGCAAGTAGCAGTGACGTAAATGCTCTGCAAGATTTTCTGAGCAACGTTCTGTAGGAACTAAAAATGTGGTGTGAGGCCAATGAAATGATGCTAAATACATCAAAGACAAAATTTCAACTGTTTTTGCTGGCCAAAAATATTCCTCTCATAACTTTGAAATATGGATTAAAGGTACTACCGAGGATTGAAGCAGCTACCTACCTTGGGGTAGGACTTGATAACAGTCTGAACTGGAGTCTACATGCGGAGGAATTGGCTATAAAAAGGGAAACAAAGAATAAGTCTACTTCATAGAATGACAGGAACAAAGTAGGGAGCAACGCAAGATGTACTTTCTCTGACTTACAAAACGTACGTGTGATCTTTCTTGGAATAGGCTGAAGAAATCATGATAACAGCAACTGTAAATGCAAGACAAAAAAATTGAAAAAATCTAAAACACAACACGGCAGATAACAGTGCCGAAGTCTACACCCATCCTAGCTATGCAGCTACAAGCAAACATTAATCCTATTGCGATGTGTAGAGAAGTAAGTTCAATAAGTCTCTACCAACGACTTCATAGACTTTCTACTGGAGTACAGCAAGCATCAAAAAGACTTGTAACGCAAGTTACTTTTTTAGAGAAAGCTCAACAGCTTAAAGATAAAATAAACTTGCTCCCCGCTCAAAGAGAACCACTTTCTCAAATACCACCTCAGTTTCCTGTAAAAATAGCATCATATAACCTCAACCTTATTAAACCCATTAAAAAATAGAGATCATACCAGAAGAACTAAGATCCTTGGCTCTTGAAATGATTGCTGAACGTTATTCCAGCCCTCCGTGGATTCATATGTATACCGATGAATCTCCCGAACTAGCAATACACAATGGAGAGGCAGGTGCATACTCTCAACTGTTTGCTATTTCGAAACCTGTTGGGAAATGGGCCACAAATTTCGACAGCGAAAAAAGAGCAATTTTATTGGCGCTGCAAGCCTTGTCACACTTAGATGCCAAAAATCTCGTATTGTTTGTGGATTAAAAGGTGGCTATTCTTGCTGTGTCATGGCCAAATGACTCCTTTGCTCAGGATATTCTGAAGTGCCAAAAGATCATAGATAAACTACTTCAAGGAACATAGGTATTCCTTCAATGGATACCAAGTCACTGTGGTCTCCATAGAAACAAAATGGCTGATAAACTTGCCGAGGAGGGCTCCACATTGAACCAGCCGGAAAATGGAATATCATATCATAGAGCCAAAAAAGAAATAAATAAGGCAAGTGAGGCTCTACTACTGGATCCCGTAAAGAGCTTTATTGCGGAAAAGCAATGGAGAAAATTGTTAAATGAAGTGGTTCCCATGAACCTGCCAAGAAAGCAAGCTGTGGCAGAGTTCCGGATGATAACAGGCCATGCTCGTGTTTGTTGAACATAAGAAATTCCACATCGCCCAAATCGGAATGGTACTAAAAAAAAAAAAAATTAAAAAAAAATGCTGACTGACTCCGACAATGTTACATATACATATGCGTTTTTCATAAATGCTATTGTTGGTATTATTTGATATTTAATTTTATAGATTACAGTGATAAAAATAAAAATTTGTATATTTAAGGGTAATTAAACAAATAAAAATACCCACAATGATATGTAAATAAATATAGCATCTAAAATTTTTACTTTGCTTCTCCTTTGTTTGAAAATACTTATTTGTGCAAAGAAGATGCTGGTAATTGAAGTCGTGTGATATGTGCACCAGATTTTTCCATTATAAGTTATAATTTTTATTTCCTAATTTCAATAACAATGTCTGGTTTGAGAGATTTTCAATAACCACTTCATATTATTCGGATCAAGAAATAATTTTGTATTAATATTGAATATCTGCTTATGCAAGTTTCAATGGACCTCATTTTGCTACATCTGGGATCATCTTCACTATTTACAAACCATTCATTTTACTATACACTAGATATTTTTTCTTTTTTTTATATAGTTTCTTCTTTAAGTGTTAATTTTTTCATGGTTTTGATTAATGTAAAATTATTTTTCCAGGTGGAACTAGTAATGGTGAAATACGAATATGTGAGTTAAAGAAATATTTGAAAGAACCAAAAAAAATAGACTTTGTGATTAATAATTGTATTTCCATAGAAAATGAAGTTTTTGATTTTGCATTTTGTTTAAACACAAAATTACTTTTATCCTCTTGCAATGACAGTATAATGAGTTTTTTTTTGCCAACGAAAGAAATTGTTCGTGCATCGTCAGAGTTAGTATTCCTATTTATTATTTTAACATCGTTAATTCTATGGTTACATGGAATAAGTTAGAAGATAAGCCTTATGAGTTATGTGTATTATGATCATTTCCCAAATCTGTTAAAAAAAAGTTTTCGATTTTGCATTTTGTGTATATATATATATATATATATATATAAATTCTTTTAGCCTGCTGCAATGAAAGTATAAGTTCTTTTTTTTTTTTTTTTTTTTTTTTTTTACCCACGAAAGGAATATTTTGATCAACAATTCTATGGTCACAGGAAATAAGTTAGTCAGAAGATAGTCCTTATGAGTTATGTGTATTATGATCATTTACCAAATCTTCTTCACAGTTTGCAGGACTTAAGAGATGATCACATTACACATAACTCTTGAGGTAAATTTTTCATTTTATTGCCTGTTACATTATATTTAATAATATAAGCTCAATTTCATAAGTTGTTTTAATTATTAGGGAAACAGTTTTATTTTTATAAAGAATGTATTATTATCAAGAAAGTCTATTAAGCATGTAAGTAATTGGTGAAACTTTATACGTTCAGATGACTCTGTTTAAGTAAAAGTTTACTTCATTAATTAATTAAGAATTACTTCAACAGTAAATGTTTCTTCAGTTAAAGCCATGGTTTGTAGTTCTCTCATTCATTAAGAGGGAGATATAGAAACCAATGATATCCAAGGTATATTATATGTCTTCAAACAACAAACGGTTCATTCAACAACCTTTCAGACCAAATATCAACATATTCAAATTTCTCATTTATATCTTTCTGAGTTCCTTCAGTATATTTTTCCCTTCACAATCATCATACTTTTTTTTTCTTCTTGAATCCATATGAAATTTTAGTTCCAGCAAAATTTCCCAATAATTTTGTTTTTTATATCCTTCAATAATATTTTTTAGGTAAGAATAGTGTTCAATATATTGAAATTAATTAATTTATCCTAGTCTATAATAATTAATGTAGTAAGAAACATTTTTGTTTCTAAAATTATATTTTCTAAATAATAGGCTTTGATTACTGAAAAGATTTATTTTATTTTTTTTTATACCCATGACAATTATTAGAAGGTGAGTGATCAAAAGAAACCATTTTATTTTTATTATATTTATAAAATCTACAAGCAAAGTTCTTTTTCTAATTTAAGTTTACTTGCTTGCTTATTCATAATTAAAATCTTTATACCTAAGTGATTTTATATTGTAAGTATAAAAATGACTTTATGTATATTCTATTACTTATTGTGATCATTTAATTGCAGGATAAAAGGTATAAAAATAAAAATAGCTAATGGAGGAAATAATACATCAAAATTAGTTGACTCAGTGGAAGTATTGAAAGAAGGATTGATTGCATGCAAATATGCCCTCCATTCTTGTATATACATTTGTGATTTAAAACCATTACGAGATGCTCTTCATGAATGTAATGAGATTGATTCTTTTGAATTAGAACCACTTCATATCTTAAAATGGAGCTCAACTGACAATTATTTTATGTACATGGGTGTAAATATTAGTAAGTTGAATAACTATTCTCACTTTCAAAACCTTAGTACATTAGTGGAATAGCAATATTAATTCTCAGATATGAAGGTAATTTTGTATTGTAATATTGGATGAATCAACCAGTGCGTCTTCAATAAGTAGTGAAGGCAAGAGGAGGAAACACGCGCTACTAAACGATGATGTAATTAATTTCTTTTAGAATAATAATGGTTCGTTTTGGAATCTAGAATCATTTCATTGAATTAAGAATTAAGGGTTATTGTCCTCTATATTAACATGCCTAATTGAAAACAAACAAAAATATTACCTATTTATTCATTAAAAACAATAGACCAATCCAAAGCAGAAATATTTTTAGATGAAAACATGAAAAAATCAAGTGTGTGGAATTTTTTAGTTATTGTTATTATTATTAACATGGCTCTCCAATCTGGTGTCGATTCCTGCTGGCCTCCTTCAGCAGCTTCTGCCAATTATTCGATCTCTTGCAGCCGCCATCAAATTCCTAAGCCTCAATGTATTTGTTGCATTAGCAGCAACACGATCTGCCCATCACAGCTTTCGTCTCCCTCTTCTCCTGATACCATCGAGTGACTTCATCAGTAGTTGTATTGGTGGATCCTCACTGTCCATACCTGACGACGTTTTCTGCCCATCTCAGTCTTGCAATCTTCATCGCTCCTACTATATTGGGCTACTTAAATACGGTGTACAGCTCGTGGTTTTTCATCCTTTTCCAATCTCCTCAAGCCCGGGAAGTAGTCCAAGTCTCACAACCGTACAGCAAGACTGGATGCACTGTCATCTTATAAAGACATAGCTTTGATCTTCTAGAGAGAACTCTAATTCAGCAATGTCTTATTTACATATATATATATATATATATATATATATATATATATATATATATATATATATATATATATATATATATATATATATATTTAAGAAATATGAAATTACATATATCGGGTCTCCGGGTGGGGACTGCTTTAAGGGATTCACAGCGCAAGTTGAAAAACAGGGATTTAAATATTGGTATGTGGAACGTAAGGAGTTTAAACACAGCAGGGAGGTTAAAATTGGTCGCAAATGAGGTTAATGGGTACAATTTGGGTATCATGGCTCTGCAAGAGGTTCGCTGGCCAGGGGAGTGCACAATGAGGGAAGGAAAGTATACTATTTGGTACTGAGGAAGCGGGAATCATTGTTTAGGTACCGGGTTTCAAATTAGGAATAGATTGCTATCTGCTTTAAGGGACATACAATTCTTTAGTGATAAAATTTCGGTAGCTATATTTCAGGGACTTTGGTTTGTCATTGTCCGACCGAAGACAGTGACGATGAAGTCAGATGCGAATTTTAGGATAAACTCGAACGGGTTTATGATAAACTACCGCAAAACTCCATGAAAATAATTGTAGGTGACGCGAACGCAAAGGTGAGAAGGGAAGAAGTTTATGTTCCGACGATTGGTAAAGAAAGCTTGCACGAATATAATAATATAATGGGATCCGTCTGATAAACTTTGCCATCTCGAAAAACCTGATAATTAAAAGTAATGTATGGTCTTATTGCGTAGCAGAAAGTGGGTCGGATCATGAATTAGTAATTGAGAAACTTTGACAATAACTTAATATAAAAAAGAGAAAAGAAAACAGTTTCGATTTTGAGAATTTTAACTTGGAAAATTAAAATATCCATCAATTAGAACCCAATTCCAGCTAGATGTTAAGAATTGGTTTGGAACTTTAGAGCTTTCTGATGAGGACCGCGAGGATATTGACAAGTTATGGGTAGAGATCAGGGACAATATTAAAGCGGTCTGTAACTTGCGTCTAGGAAAAAAGGAAAATAAGAACAACAAACCGTTGTTTGATAAAGATTGCTTAAACATGTTCCGAAAAAAGAAAAGCCGCTAAATTAAAAGCTCTAAATAATCTTAACGAAGGCAATCTGCAATACTTCCAAATCTCAAAGATTGAAACGACAAAATTGCTCAAAAATAAAAAAAAGGGAGTACCTTAAAAATAAAATAATTGAAATAGAAAATAATAGAATCGAAAATTACGTAAGAGACATGTACAAAGGTATAAACAGATCATGTAAATGTTTAGGGCCCATCATGTCTGGAATTAGGGATGAAAATAACAATATTCTGACCGACCCGGTTGACATATTAAATAAGTTAAAGAACCACTTTGACAGTATTTTAAATACAGGAAATTATGATGTGTCCTTCTGAGTACCAGAGTGCTGAACCGTTAATAGAAAAACCAAGTAAAGAGGAAGTTGAAGTAGCTCTCGGAAAATTAAAATCTTATAAAGCAGCGGGAACCGATAATATTCCTACTGAACTATTTAAGGCATTCGGGGAAGCTGGAGTTTCTAAAATACATTGGTTGGTTAAAAAGATCTGGGAGAATGAGAAATTACCTGAAGAATGTAAAGAATCTATTCTTATTCCGACAAAAAGGCCTGAGGTCAGATTGTAATAACTATTGAGGAATTTCACTCCTTCCAGTATGATATAAAATATTCACTTTAATCTTTAATAGTAGAATCACAGAATGCGTCGAGGAAATTATCAGAGACTACCAATACGGATTTAGATGGAATCGTTCGACTATTGATCAAATACTTTCTTTATGACAAATATTAGAGTACAACGGTATTGTTCACCTGCTGTATATCGATTTCAAAAAAGCTTACTATTCTATTGATCACCAGAAACTGTATAATATTCTAATCGAGCAGAGGATTCCAAAAAAACTAGTAAATCTAGTCAGGATGTGCTTGACGGAACCACTCAATAAAGTTAGAATTGGTTATAATCTGTCCGAAAACTTTGAGGTTCTTTCGGGTTTAAAACAGGGGGATTTCCTTTTGCCTGTCCTGTTCAATTTGGTATTAGAACTTGCCTTTAGGGAGGTAATGCATACCGAAAAAGGGTTGGACCTGGGTGGGACAACACCCGCGCTGTGCTATGTGGATGGTCTGGTACTGTTAAGCGAAGACGTGGAAACTATAAAACTAAATACGACAACCTTAATGAATACCAGTAAAGAACTAGGGCTCGATAAGACAAAATATATGGTTAGCTGCAAAAATGGCGGTATTACTGGTGATATTGATATTGATGGTAATACGTTTGAACAGGTAGAGAAGCTTAGGTATCTAGGATCTATGATAACTAGAAAAAAGAAATTGAAGAAGAGATTAAGGTTAGACTGAAGGCGGGAAGTGCTTCTTATTTTTCTATGACAAAACTACTTAGCTCGAGCCTCTTGTCCCAGAAACTTAAAAATTAGAATCTATAAAATCATTATCTTACCTACAGTTCTTCATGGATGCGAAACATGGCCGCCTACATTAAGAGATGAGCAATGTCTTAAGGTTTTTGAAAATAAAGTATTGTGTAGAATATTCAAACCATAGAAGGATAAATTAACCGGAGAGTTCAGACGGTTACACAACGCCGAATTGCGTGAACTGTATCTGGTTAATATAATTGAGGTGATTTCATCCCGGCGAATTAAATTGGCTTGTAAAATTGTTGGGCTTAGTAATGAGAGAATTCCTCAAAGGTTAATATTTGCTGCACTGAATGGTAAACGTCCGAGGGGCAGAGCGAAGCGAAGGTGGGAAGATTGCATTAAAGCCAATTTGAAGGGACTAGGTTTGGACAGCGAACGGTGGAGAGAGGTTTGTAATAAGTGATTGGTGGTGTCGTCATCAAACCTTTGGGTTCGCTAAGCCTTTTATTATTGTTATTATAACTCTAAGTAACGGGTCTCCTCGTTTACTAATTTTGCAGAGCTGGAAATCCAACATCAAATTTGCTAGTTACAATGGCCTCTGAAATAAAACAAAAATCAATGTTTTAAATAATTAAAACCACTAAATTCGTACTTAATAATTAGGGTTCATCTTATCAGCAGTTTTTGGATGTATTTTAATACAATTTTATTTTGTTTATATAACTTTTGCTTTGTGCGACACATCTTATTTTATCTTAAATTTTCTTTTATAGAAAGTTCATTGCTTTGTTGTGGTGATGATAAGGGTTCACTGTGGCTATATGGTCTACAAGAAATTTTTCAGAGCTCTGCATCTACCGAAAGAAATATTGAACCATCAGCAATTATACCTTGGCCTTATTTAACTGATCATTATAATGACAAGAAAAGAAAATTAAATTTAAATGTATATGATATTGTAATTGACAAAGTTGTTGTACATTCCAGTGGTGAATTTATTGTTGCTGTTACTAACAATAATTTAGTTTGTATTTGGAGAAAAACATGATATTTTTTTGAGCTAAATTATTATGAAAAATAAATGTTATTTTTATTTAATGAATAAGAAGGAAAATACAGGGTAAAAAACCTGTAAACTGATTTGTATTGTTTCTATACTTGTATCCATGATATATAAAATCTTTTTATATATTTTTTAATAAATGTTTTATATCATCATGTATTTTAGATTATTTTGAATTTGAATTTTAAAACTGTTAAGCAAAAAAAAAAAACATACATCTTTCACTTACTGCTCTACTTTGAATAGAAATTATTTTCTGGCAATGCTGGGCTATTATCAAATTTTTGAAGTGCATTTTAAACGGAGCTAAAGCATAAAGCTTACAGATAACAAGTTATTAAGACCATTATAATTACAAAATATCTATTTATTATATCGACGGTAGGCAATAGAATTCTAGTAAAATTAGAGTTCGTCATTCTGTCAACCGAAAGGCTCATATATGCCTACAGACGTTTGAAAGTATATCTGAACATTTAACCTATAAATGGTTATGGATCGTAGGACTATTAGTAGTGTTGCGCAAAATCGGTCTTCGTCTTCCACTTTGCAAGACCAAGACCAACACCGCCTATCTGTTGCAAGATCAAGACTGGTTAAAAAAAATCAATTTTTTGAATACGAATTGAGGCAAAATAGTCACTAATACTGGACAATTTTAGTTACTATATGTAAAGAATTGGTGCAACCAATATACTTTTTCATTTAACTCTTCTAATTTTTCATTCAGACTTAGTTAGGTTTTTCATATCTAAAAAATTACAATAATATCTCTCTAATAATAAGCTAATAGGCAACTGCAAGTATGTTACGAGAGTCTTGCGCAAGACCAAGACTCATCTTAGTCTCGCATTTGGGCAACACTAACTATTTGTTATTAAGCTGTTATTTTTCATTTTAAAGTTTGCTAAAACAAAATTACGAGATTTTCATTGCCTTGCCATGGATAGGTCAAAAGTTGTCTCACTAATTGTAAGAAGATAATGTTGGTATTTTATAAAGGGAAAATTCACTAATTTAATTTTCTAAAGGGTTACTTGATGATTTTTTGGAATAAACGGCCGATAGATACCTAATTATTTAAATATAATATCTTATCTAGAGTTAATACTCTATAGTAAATATATATTTGAGGTTATATTTACTGGCTATCTTCTTATAACTTATTGGTCTCCATATTTGAAGAATTATCTATTTATAAGATAGATATTTCTGTCAAGATAAATCTTTTATCCACAACGGTAATGAGCAAATATTATATCAAGGAGAACAGAACAAAATGAAAAAAAAAAAACTCTGTAATTATTATTAACAATTATACATCTAACTACCTTCCTAGTTACAAAGAAAAATAAATAAAAGGTGATCCCAATTAATGGACTAAATATTTGAGGTTATAAACATATCCATGAAATGTTTTTATATTTCACTTCTTCTTTCACACAAGTACTACGAAATAATATTTTAAACAATGACATAGACTTGATTCGGTGGATTTTAAATATTTTTTTTTCAATCTTAGAAAAACATTTAAAAGTTTGCATTTAGTAAGAAAATTTCATTTAATTTCCTTGGAAACATGTGATTTATGTTAAATAATATTGGTTTTCAGAATTTATTATTTATATTTTTTTTGTTACCTTCTACAACTCTATTTATTAAATAGTATTTTTTTCTAAAATTCTCCCCTTTCCAATGATCTATTACACTTGTATTTCTGGAGATTCATTTTCGACCTGTATAAGCATTTTTATTTTTTTTCTCCTTTATTTTATTATTAAATTCTTTCAAAAATTATATTTAACATTTTTTCGTAACTTTTAATAATGAGAGATAGTTGATCATTTAAAATAAAACATATTAAAGGTACTTTAGAGGAAGATGCATATGAACATTTGGCATTTAAGCCCTGTAAATTGATATCAAAATTGTAAAAATGTGTTCATATAAAGTGGCACTTCCGGTTAGCGGATTTTAACGAAAAAGTTGCTGTCACATCCGGCCCACATACAAACCTTAAATACTTAATATCAGTTTCGAACTACTTTTCCTTTATGAGCTAGACTGTTAACACAGACTATTTTGCGACACTTGGTTATTTGGACTCAGGGGACCTCAAAACATGTATTTCCGTTGAAAACTGTGATTCGAAAATTTTCACGATCACAATATTTACACTTGCTATCTATTTCATATATACGTTATATATTTCATATATATTCTCTATTTCATATATAGGCAGTTGAAACGTCGGCAAAAATTAAAATAATTTATATATTTTAATTTTTTTATTTATTTGACCGCACCCTCCACTAACTCCTTCTCATATTATATCAACGGTCAACCATCTCTACATCATTATGAATGCATTACCAGTGTTTCAACTGCCTCCCGCAGTGCCACATCCTACGCCTTGAAGACGACCTGCAAAGTGGGTCGAAACGTCGGCAAAAATTAAAATAATTTATATATTTTAATTTTTTTATTTATTTGATCCCACCCTCGACTAACTCCTCTCATATTATATCAACGGTCAACCATCTCTACATCATTATGAATGCATTACCAGTGTTTCAACTACCCCCCGCAGTGCCACATCCTACGCCCTGAAGACGACCTGCAAAGTGGGTCGAAATGTCGGAAAAAATTAAAATAATTCATATATTTTAATTTTTTTATTTATTTGACCGCACCCTCGACTAACTCCTTCTCATATTAAACAGTTTTTGTTCCATTTTAAACCGTATGGGTATTTGGTTAAGAAATTCCGATTCTGTTAACTCAGTAAAGATCTCTACGTTTATAATAAATGTGTGAAACATTGTCTTTCATTTATAGTCTAACATGAATTATAAATAATAACATAAATTTTATGAATATACATAATAAATATAAATTTTATAGTAAAACATAAAAATGACTGTATACACCAGGTTTGGGCTCCCTGAAGTGCCAGTTTTAGGCACCCCTTTTCTAATTTTCAGAATAAATAACTTCAATGACATTGTAAAAAAATGTTTTCTAAGCAGGAAGGTGAGTACAAAAAGTCAAAAGCAAACCTAATTAGTAACTATTCGTTCTCAGAAATATTTAAAATGTAAGGGGTTGTATCCTTCGTTGTTTTCATTTGAATGTACCAATTATTTTTTTTTAATCGATTGCCAAAATCGATCAATAAAAATTTCATAGATGTAGCCAAAGTCTTTTAATCCATTATTTTTTAATATTTGGTCGGAGTACTCAAAAACACTATAAAATTTATCCCCAATAGGGATGGGACAAAGCTCTTGCAACCGATAGTAGAACTGGGTCTGACAGTGGAACCGTTAAGAACTGTTCCAATGAGAGCTGCTTATTGGTTCCATTAGAACTATAATGCTAGGCGCGCAGGACTATTATTAGGTCCACTGGAACCAGCGGAACTATTAAGGAGAGGCTTTGTTGTTTAATGTTGGTCAGTGAACATCGTTCCCCAAGGTCTATAAAACTACCAGGTCAGCTCACTCAGAAATACGTGGTGGGAGAACTTGAATCGTGAAGTAATATCTAGATCACCAAACCTACCTATTGCTAGGGATGGGCTGATATTAGAATTTTTGTATCTAGGTACAATTTGTACTTTTTTGTATCTGATACAAATGAGTCAGTAGTTTGTCATTACCTTCACTAGCGGAACTAGGATTTAATTTTTTGGAGGGGGGCTTCAGCTCGAAGGATTTTTTTCATATACAGTGATGGAAAAAAGTATTTGAACATCATGTTTTTATGAATAAATGAGTTCAAGGAACCAAAAAACTTCGCTTTCCTCTGCAAAAATAAAAAGTACATTTTTTAAAAACTGAAATAAACCTTTTGGAAAAAAATGACAACACTCCATAGTGAAACAAAAAAATTAAAACAATAAAAGTGCTTGGAAAAAAGTATTTTCGCTATGACTCACCAGCTCTGTTTACTTTGGCATTAATCCATCTGTGTCCTTAGGTCATAGGTTTGTTTACTAATTTATCTCTAATCGTTTATTACCAGTATTCTCTAGTCTTTCAATCAGTTTCCTTTAGTCAATAGACAATTATCATGCCAAAGACAAGTGAACTGTGTGCCGCAACTCGCGAAAAAATTGTTTTACTGAGGAGTCAGCAAAAAACATCGCCAAATTGGCGATTTCTTAGGGTTGAATTTTTCTACAGTGAGGTACGTCATAAAAAGGTACGAAGAACGTGGTTCAACTGAAAACAGTGAGCGTAAAGGGCGTCCAAAAAAGTTAACTCCCAGGCTGAAGAGGAAAATCAGAAAAGAAGCTCTTAAAAATCCTCTGGTAATTTCTCGGGAGCTGGCTAGCATGGTCCAATCAACGTCTGGAGTTCAGATTACTAGCAGAACAATTAGATATGCCCTGAATTCGGAAGGGCTCCATGGTAGATTTCCAAGAAAGAAGCCTTCAGTGAACCGAATCCCAAGAAGCGCCTTGCTTTTGCTAGGGAGTACGTACAGAAACCCTTCAGCTTTTGGGAAAATGTCATCTTTTCTGACGAAAGCAAATTTAATTTGTTTGGTTCAGATGGTCGAAGGACGATATGGCGACATCGTAATGAAGCCCTAAAGAAGCAAAATGTTTTAACAACTGTAAAGCATGGTGGAGGACATGTTATGGTTTGGGGGTGTGTTTCCTACCATGGCGTGGGAAATCTTGTGAGCATCGAAGGTATTTTAAATGCGGAAGGCTATGTGAACATTTTGCGACGTAATTTGCGTGTTAGTGCCAAAAAAATGGGAATCCAGGATCAGTACTGTTTCCAGCAGGACAACGATCCAAAACATACTGCGAGGAAAACAAAAGGGTGGTTAATATTTAATGTTCCAAGACAGCTCCAAACTCCTCCTCAGTCACCAGATATAAATATCATTGAAAATTTATGGCACACCCTTGACCAAAATATAAGAAAACACCATATCACTAGTGGACATCACCTTAAACAACTTCTTGTTCAAGAATGGAACAAATAAACGTAGATTTAATTAAAAACCTAGTGAATTCAATGCCCAGACGTCTACAAGCAATTATTGACGCAAATGCCCTATTTACAAAATATTAAAACTATTAAAATTTAAAATAAACTTGTAAATGTGGAAGTGTGCAAATACTTTTTTCCAAGCA